TCTTTGGCTCTAAAATGTATCTCTTATAGAGAGCATGTTGTTGGATCTTGTTTTTTTTTTTTTTAATCCATTCTGCCACTCTATTGTTTAATTTGTGAGTTTAATCTAGTTACATTTAAAGTGGTCATTGATAGGCACAGATTTATGCCATTTTGCTCTTTTGTTATTTGCATTTCTTACATCTTTTTGGACCAGTGTAATTTGATTTGATCCCAGCTTAGCTTCAGTAGTGTACGAAAGCTCTGCCCCACTTCCCGTTATGTTATTATTGTCTCACATTACATCTTTATGTATTGTGTAGCCGTGAATACATACTTATAATTACTGTTTATGCATTTCTCTTTTAAATCATATAGGAAGCAAAAAGGAAAGTTACAAATCAAAGATACAGTAATACTTGATTTTACATTAACTTATATAGTTACCTTTACTGAAGTTTTTGTTTGGGGGAAGGGGGTTTAATTTACTAAGGTTTTTTTATTTCATCCTTAAGAATCTAAAGGGAATTCTTTTAGGACAGGCCTTCTAGCAATGAACTCCCTTGGCTTTTTGCAGGAAATGGAATTCTTGGTTGATAGTCTTTTTTTCTTTCAGCACTTCATTTATTTATTGGCCACACCACACGGCATATGGGATCTTAATTCCCTGACCAGAGACTGAACCCATGCCCCCTGCAGTGGAAGTGTGGAGTCTTAACCACTGGACCACCAAGGAAGTCCTTTCAGCACTTTAAACATGTCATCCCGTTGCCTTCTGGTCTCTGGTTTCTGATGATAAACTGACTGTTAATCTCAGTGAGGACCCCTTACTAAGGGGTGATGCATCTTCTGCTTTTGCTGCTTTCAAGATTCTCTTTAGCTTTTGACAGTATGATTGTGTTGTGTTTCAGTATGAGTCTCTTTGAGTGTATCCTCCTTGGAGGTCATTGAGCTTCTTCGATGTATATAGGCAAACCTTGGAGATACTATGGGTTCAGTTCCATACCACCACAATAAAGCAGATAAAGGTAGTCACATGAATTTTTTGGTTTTTCAGTGCATATTGAAGTTATTTTTGTATTGTGGTCTACTGAGTGTGCAGTAGCATTATGTGCCCCCCAAATTTATATACCTTAATTTAAAAATGCTTTATTGGTAAAAAATGACCATCATCTGAGCCTTTAGCAAGTTATAGTCTTCTGCAGCAGTAGCATCAGAGATCACTGATCACAGAACACCTTAACAAATATAACAAAAATGTTTGAAAAATTGTGAGAATTACCAAGATGTGACATAGAGACAGGGTTGCCACAGACCTTCAGTTTGTAAAGAATGCAATATCTGCAAAATCCCCTAACGTGAAGTGCAGTAAATAAAGCAAGGTATACGTGTAAATCCTATATTTCATCAAGTTTGGGAAGTTTGCAGATGTTATTTCTTTAAAGATTATTTCTGTTTCTTTGTCTCTCCTTTTCCCCTGGGAATTATGACACATATGTTGGTATGCTTAGTAGTGTCACAGGTTTCTTAGGCTTGGTACATTTTTCTGCATTTGTTTTTGTGTCTGCTCTTTAGACTTTAATTTCAGCTGTCCTGTCTTCAAGTTCACTGATTATTTCTTTTACCTAAACTCCTTTAGTGAATTTTTCATTTCAGCTATTTTTCGGTCGCAGGTTTCTATTTGCTGCTTTTAAATAATTTCTGTCCCTGTATTAATATTTTGTTTTTGGTATGGCATTGTTCTCCTGGGTTATTTTTTCATTCTTTGCCATGGTTTGCTTTAGCTCTTTGAGCATATTTAAGACAGTTGACTTAAAGTCTTTCTCTAGGGAGTCTGATGTCTGGGCTTCCTTAAGGCCAGTGTCTTATTGTTTTTCCCCAATGAAACAGCTATACTTTCCTGTTTATTTGTGTGCCTCCTAATTGTGAAAAACGTTCACTTTTAAATTACAACGTGATAACTCTGGAAATTAGATTCTCCTCCTACCCCAGGGTTTATTGTTATTGATTGTTGAGAGCCTCTGTTGTTTTTCTGTTTAGTGCCTTTTCCAGACTATTTTTTGCAAATAATATTTCTTGTCATCTGTGGTTATTGAAATCTGTGTCCTATTAGATTTACTTAAACAACTGGAGCCAAAAAGAAGAAAGAGGTAATAATAAGTAAATTAAAACAAAAACAGAAAACCCTTCTTGGTCTTTCCAGATTGGCTTTGAGCAGGGGCATTCCTTCAGTGCTAAACAGGCCACCTGTAACTGTCTTAGACTTAACCTGTTTCTTGGACAGAGCTCAAAGATCAGCAGAGGTGCAAGCTAAGGGTTCTCACAGCTCTTTCCTAAGGATGCATCTAGTCCCTGGAATGCTCTATGCGCTCTGGATTCCCCAGTGTATGGGATAGCCGTTTAAAGCCTTTACTCCTCTAAGCATCTTCCTCCTCATCCTCCTTCTTCCTAGGCCTTTGGCTCTGTCTGCTGCATACTCCATCCAGCGTCCTTTGCACACATAACTACAGGTAGCTTATGTCTTTAGATGCTTTCATTAGATGGCACTTGGAAAGCCACTCCAGCCTTAGGCGGGCAAACAAGGGTCAACCTCTGTACCAGTCCTTGGGGGATTACCAGACAGGTCAGAATACACAGCCACACGTTGAAAACAAGGTTCAGCAAAACACACTAGGAGCACAGGTTACCATCTCCAAAGCCTCTGCTGAGCTAGCGGATGGCTTTGTAGGTAGGTAGGGAAAATAGTTTCTTAACAAAATTTAGCAGCTTCTTTGTTCAGTAGGTGCGTCCTTGGTTGTGCTCAGTTTTTTATTAGATTCCAGAATTTTAAAAAGTTGGTTCTGTCTGTTTCTGCCAGCTTAATGTTTGTTTCAGTGAAAGCAATGATTCTGAAACTCAATGTCTGGCCATTTCTGTGATGTCACTCCCCTACCCTCATGTTTTTTGTTTCTTTTAAGCAGTTTTAAACAGCAAAAATTTATTATCCCACATGGTTCTTGAGGTCAGAAATCAGGTTGCCTCTCAGTTTAGTAGTCCTGGCTCAAGGTCCCTGACAAATTTGCATTCAGACTGGTTGGCCAGAAATGCAGTCATGTCAAGGCTCAAGTTGCCCTGTGGCATGTGGACTCTTCCTGGACCAAGGATCGAACCCGTGTGTCCTACATTGGCAGGCGGGTTCTCTACCACCGAGCCACCAGGAAAGCCCCCTTCGTGTTTTGTTTGCTTTATCTTTATGTTCTTGGATGCTTTTGGTATTCTTTATGTGAGGCTGAGATAGCTGTGCTCTTCTTACAGGAGAGAAAATGTGAACCTTGGATAATTCCTTAGCGAAGAGGAATTGGTTTGATCTTCCCTGGAGGCATTACCACTACCTGCTTTATTCAGCCCTAGAGATGGAAATGAGAGACCCTAAGAGACTTCACACAGCCTTGGAGTAGAGCAGCAAACCCTTATAACTGACCTTTTCTCCCTCCCCTATCAGACTCCTGTTGTTCCAGTCCACAGAGCTATGAGATGGGCTTCCTGGGCACCCAGGACCTTAAAAATACCACTGTAAACTGCTTTCCCATTGTGTTCCTTTGTAGCTGTGTTTGGTGGTTTGTTTTATGGGGGAAATGTGTCCTTTTTGGTTTAAAAAAAAAAAGTGTGTGAGAGAGGAGAGCAGGTGATTCTTCTGGTAGGTCCTACTCCCCACTCAGAAGATCAGCACCTGTTCACAGAATCCCTGCTGTATGGTGAGGCCCTGTACTGGGTGCCGAGGGATGCTGAAGTGTGGAGAACAATGCTCAAGTGGCTTCTGTGTAGTCCAGAGGTGGAAATATTACCTGATGAAAAAAAAATAAAAAATACAAAGTAGCATTTATGCCCCTAGTGGTTGCCACAGTACTGATAAGGCAGATACTTAAACTTTCCTAAGTAATAATGTGAGAAGCAGAAGGAAAATAATGGACATGGCCAGGAAATAAAGTGAAAAGTCTTTGTTAATATGTTTGTTTTTCAGATCTAGTAAAATATTTCACAACATAATGATTTCTGAGACCTTTTGATATCCTGCTTGTAGAACCTTCTTTTTACATTTGGCTTTCATCTGGCTCCTTCTCATCAGTAATCAGACAGTTTCACTTTTACTTAATTACTTGTTGCCATACAAAAAGATCATTTGCATCTGCATTGTTTTTAATTTTGAAAAAGTAAATTAGGTTTGTGTTTATAGTTTTGTATCCACTGTTCTAATATCATTTCAGTATTTACAGAGGGTTTCATAAAATGAATTAGCCACTGGGTCATGATAAGAATAGAAAGGCAAACCTAGCCCCCAGTCTACCAATTTGCTAGCTTCCTTTTGTGTCTGAAGATGGTAATGCTAGTGGTAGTGTTTTGTTTGCATGCGCGCACCTGGAAGGTGAGGTTGGCCACAATCAGGATGTCAGCCTTTTACAAGATAGTCTTTCCTTGACAATTGCATCTTTCCTCTAATGGGTGATACAGGCAGATTTTAAGTGTCCCGAGTAACGGGAGTTCTGCAACCTCTCTTAAGGCTGTGATTGGAATTCTTCTGAAATAGAAATGTGTGTATGTAAGACTGTTTTTTTTAAACATCATTCAGATCTTAAGCTCACTGTGAACCAGAGCTTGACCTATATATAACAAGAAGGGACTTATTTCTGGAAAACTGTATCCTGCATCCTAAAGTAGGTAGAAATAGACCAATGTAATTTTTTTATTTGGCTGCTCCAGGTCTTAGTTGCAGCACGTGAGATCTTTAGTTGAAGCATGTGGGAACTAGTTCCCTGAGCAGGGATCGAACCCAGGCCCCTTCCATTGGGAGCACAGAGTCTTAACCTCTGGACCACCAGGGAAATCCCTCCCCGTTCTCACCTGAAGTCCATATTACCTCCTTTGTTAATGTTTCTGGTTTGAGTATGTTCTTTTCTTTCTTGTTGGCAACAAAGTATGTTTGCTTTTATTCTCTTAATAAAAAATAAATGAATTCTGAAGTTTCATTTAATTTTCCTCTTCTAGACGGTTAAATCCCACACAGAAACAGATGAAAAACAAACGGAGAGCCGCACCGTCACCCCGCCTGCTGCCCCCAAACCCAAACGGGAGGAGAACCCTCAGGTAGGCCCAGCCCTCCAGGCGTGGCTCAGCCTCTGAGATGTGACTCACTCTCGTGCATCGGGGGGACCCTTGCTTTCTGGATCAGTTGATTTCCTTTTCTTGTGCTTTCTCACTCTTCAGTGATGTTATTGCCAAGTCAGGTTGGCCTGGGGAGTGTGGCCTGTAGTGCTCATGAGCTGGCAAACAGAGATTCCATAGCTGTGTCACAGATTTGAATTGTGTGATTCATGACCATTTCCCCAGGTACCCCCTGCCCCCCGCCCCGCATTCCTAATGATCATTCTGTCTTGTTTGTTTCAGCCAGCATTTATAAGCTGTCTGGTTCACTCAGTTAACGTCTGTCTATGTTACTGATTACACTTGTTACATGTGCATTTTTGTTATTACTATTGTACTGCATTAGAGCCCCATATCCCAGATGAATCAGTAGCTCAAAAGTAGATCATTGAAGCACAAAAGTAGAGATGAAAATAGTAGCATCTGTACTACAACTTAATATAGAATTATAAACTTAAATAGCAAACAAAACTCTGGTACAAATACAGATTGTGAATTTGTGTGTCAACAGAATATTGACAACAGAATTAGACAACAGAATATTATTAGAATATTAATTAATTAGACAACAGAATTAGACAACAGAATATTATTAGAATATTAATGAATTAGACAACAGAATTAGACAACAGAATATTATAGTTGATACTTTTGTACAAGCAGCTCTAAAAGAAAAATGTGGACAGGTAATATGATGATGAATATCTGATAGTTGGATTTTATTAGACCAGCAATCCATTTTCTTCTGTCCTCAGTGCATTCTTTGTAATGAAACCATGTCAGATAGTGGCATGAAGCCGTCAAAGCTTCATGTCATTTTTTTAGAGCAATGACTTATTAAGTCAGTTCAGGTTTTTCTACAACAAGTACAAATTATAATTCTTTATGATATGAAATGAATTAATTTTTAATTTGTTTTTTAAAGAAGAGACCAAAACTTGAACCAAAAAGCAGTACTAGTCATGCATGTTGCTGAGAAACTTATAAGCCTGCTCAGGCATGTTGTAAAGCCGCTGGAAAAGTAACTTGGAGCAAGTTTTGTGAATGGAAATGTAGTGCTCAAGTCACATTCTGCTTTAAAAAATTGTAACAAATACAGATGACTTAAAAAAAAAAATCATCTGCAAAATTAGTGTCAAGTATTAGGCTTGGAGGGTGAAAAAGAGAGCAAATTATTAGCAAAATTCCCTTATCAAAAGAAACGGAAGGATATCTTATGTCAGTAGCACCATGTAGGCACGCAAGTACCCTTGTGTATAACAGGTATTTCTAATTGGACAGAATCACTGCCATAAAGAAGATAAATTAGTTATTGGTATACTTGTGATACACAGATGAGGCCAGAGTTGTTGACAACTTTTTATTCTATTTATCACTAAAAATCAGTTCCATGAAAGAGATTTTTTCCCCGTGTGGTAATTCTTTGATGAGCTTGATCTGGACTGGCAAAGATGAGTTGGATGTGAGTGGCCAAGAAGGGTGCCGTTACTTGATTAAAAGAAGGTGCATCAGAATGTCAGTTCACACACTGCTTTATTAGCAGAGAACAGCTAGGAGACAGTCTTCTGATCTTAAGTTTTGAAGGAATAAGTGAAAATTAGGGACGCGGTTAATTGGCAGCTGCACAGTGCATGCAGTGTAGAGAATGGGCATCAAGTCCAAGGCTTTTCCCTACTGAAGCACTCGGGCTGTTGGCAGGACAAGTGCCCACCTGCTTTTGAAATAAGAAATAAAATAATAACGTTTCTTCAGGATGCTGAGAATACCAGTAAAGGACATTTTTGTGTTCTCAAGTTGCTTGTTCAAGGTTATCCTTGTAAAACACTCAGTAACTTGAGTAGCCTGAACCTGTCAGTTCAGGCCAAAATATTGTAATGTTTAATGTTGAGAGTAAAATGTCTGGATTTTCAGAGACCAAATTGTGGTATACGTAATTCTACAGGCGTGTCAACTAATGATGTTTCCTTATTCATCAGTTAGAGAAATTGATGATATATCATTTGGCATATTTAGCAGCCGCATGCAGTGGTATAGCAGAAAATGAAGACATACTTTCCAGACCCACATCTAACCAAAGAACAAAATAGTAATCAGTCTGTTGCTCACTCCATGTTTAAGCAACGAACGTTCCAGCCTTGCAGTCCATTGTTCTCATCAGTCTAGCTTCCAATGGAGCGCTGAGAGTGGTGGTCAGAGAGAAATCACTATATAATTTATAGGTCCGTGGTTGATTGGAAAGTCACAGTATTAAGCAAAACCACCTGCTATCATTCCTAAAACTCTTAGCTTTGAGTTTTCATTGTCCTGAAAACTGAACTGAACTTTCATTGTCCAATCAGTGGTAGTAGAAATACAAGAACTCTTGACCTGGTGTCACAAATGAAGTTCTTAGAATTTGGAGCTTGTTGTATGGGAGGCTCTTTGGAACACTCTCTGTGTTTTTTTTTCTCTCTTTTTTTTCAGTGTGGAGTCCTCTTTTCTCTTAGAGAATTTTTTTTTGGGAAAACTTAGGTCTTACAGGATTCTGATTTCTGCCATTGAGAAAGTAGAAGATACAGGCCCCAATGACTCTCTTTTGATTCCTGTAAGATCAGAAAGCTTAGAGGGGAACTTCATAGCTTCTCAGAGTAGAGGGTGCCTGCTCCTTGCTCACCTGAACCTGGCTTTCTTCCTGCCACCAGCCATTGGGTGACTCTCCCTCGGAGTCTTAACTGGGAACATGCAGTTGGCGTTGTGAGAACCCAGACTGAAGTGTATTCTTCTTTTGTTTTTCTGCAACAGAAACTTGCCTTCATGGTGTCTCTAGGGTTGGTGACACATGACCATCTAGAAGGTAAGAGAAAACGCTCATGGGCTGCCTTGCTTCTGGCCTAGAGCTTTGTTCTTGAAAATGGTGTTCAATTTATTGTTAGACTTGAAAATTGGAACACAGAGTGTGATTCAGCCCATGTGGACTTTTTTTTTTGGAGTAAACTTACCTTCCTTCTATCTAATGTTCAGCTTCTCTCCTGTCTTTATTTATCCACACTATTGTCCTGGGGAAATTCCCTATTTGCCTGGATTAAGGGGACTGCTGTTCACTTAGAGAAACTTTTTTTTTTTTTTCTGGCAGCACAAAGTAGCAAATGGCCCTCTGACAAGTCTTGGTATTTTTCAGTCACTTTTGATTATCAGAATCTTAGGAATAGTTGCAGAGCTGTACCTCTCTTAGTTATTTAATTCAAGAATAGTAAACTATGATTCCTCAGTCTAGGTCTGTGGATAAAGTTCACTCACACCTGTATTATAGTGACCTAAAAATAGATGAGGACAGCTTGTTTACAAGTGTGGTCTGCTGTTAAGCTCTCAGTCAACAGAGAGCCATCCTGTAGGACGGCACGGCCTTGCTCTCCAACAGGCAAGAGGGCACAGTCCTGTGTGTTTGCTCCCAGCCGTGTGCTTGCCTGGGCTGAGGCTGCAGTGAAAGCGAGAGACTTGCTCTCATCTCTTAACTTGTCACGGGAAAACCAGTAGGTAAACAGGGAAGTTAGGCTTGGTGCGGTTCTCCGTGCCTCTCTTCTAATCCAAGCCTTTTGCTTTCCCAAGAAATCCAAAGCAAGAGGCAAGAACGGAAAAGAAGAACAACAGCGAATCCGGTGTACAGTGGTGCGGTCTTCGAGCCGGAGGTACTCTAGTCAGCACTCAGCCCTTCCTTCGCGTGTTCAGTGCCTCCCCTCTGAAAAGCTGCCGGAGAGCAGCACCCAGATTGTACTCGGCCAGCTTTGTAAAACGGCGGGTTTTCCTCTGGCCGATCCCAGTATTTCATTTTTCTCACTGTTTTCCCCCTTAGTTTCTTCCCGAAGTTCAAGTAGCTACAAACCTACCTTAAAAATTTAACTCATCCTGTCATCCGAGTGCGACTGTCTCCTAAAGCAGAGACAGGCCTCTCTGGAGTATTCTCTTAGAGCCAAGTGCACATGCTAAGCCCAGACCTTGGGGTGACCAGCCCTAACTAGTTGGCGAGCTGGAGGGCCTGCTGTGCTTGGCCTTCAGCTTGTTACCCAGTGTTAGTGATGGCCTGCTCTTCAGCCAGTCACCTCTCCCCCTTCATCCCCCAAGCGAAAGAAGAGTGCGGTCACGTACCTGAACAGCACGATGCACCCCGGGACCCGGAAGAGAGGTGAGTACCTTTCTGTGCCTCTCCTTGCTGTGCTTTTGCTTCCGTGTTGTGTTTCCCTCCCCTCCTCCTCCCATTGTCCTGGAGCCTGTCTTAATTCCTGTATCCCTTGAAAACAGTCTTGTTGCTGTTCTCTGAGAATGGGGGGGAAAGAGTGAGATTTCTTATTAGAGGTCTGTATACTGGATGAAAGCTGCCTTCCTGGGGTTCTGGCAGAGCTGGCTCAGGGGAATGGCTTAATGCAGCATTTCTGCCCCAGGCCCACCAGGCTGTTGATGAATAGCACAGTGAACAGAACACCCTGTAAGAGGAAGCATTTTAGCAGCATTGAGCCAAACAGAACGCTGCTGTTGCCAAGGTGTTGTTAGTAGTGTGTGAATGGTCCTGACGCAGTGAGGACAGAGCATCACTCTGAAGCGTCTGTGAGCTGCAGGCTTTCTAGGAAGGAGAAGGGTAGCCATGCTGAGAATTTAGAATGTATGAGAGAAGAGGGCGTCTCCAACTAAGGAAGAAAAGATCACTGTCAAAACAGGCTCCCCAGAGCAGAACTTGCTGAAGAGCTGCATCCCCCAGTTGTAGTCCCCCAGGGCAGGCGTGCCACCTCGCCCTCAGGGCAGCCTGCACTCTTCACCAAGGAGGCCTGAGTGGGCCTTAATGGCTCAGAGCTTGAGCTCATAAGCAGGGCTCTGAAATTGTTCTTTGATGTCAGTGATACAGTCCAGGGTCCCTTTCTCCATGTGATAATGTGGCCCTGAATTACAGTTCTAGGCCGGAAAGGTTGCAGAGTGAGTGGAGTAGCATACTGATCTGTGTGCGTGCACTCGCCGTCTCAGGGCTGCTGGAAGCTTAGGCGGTCACCCCGACCCTTTGTCTGCCTTAGGCAGGGCTCCAACTATACCGTTCCCACCTCTTCCGCTCAGAGGGAGAGCATTACCCGCCTTAGTGACCCACTCCAGTGTTTCATCAGTCCCTCCTTCTGGAAGCCAAAACACACTTAGATGGGAGTCCTGGAGTCACTGGGCTTGCTTCATATTGATCCCTAGGCCACAGTGTCATGGGTTGTTTTCTGTAGTTTTATTTTGTTTGGGGCAATTTTTAGTGACCTCTGACATAATTCTCAGAAAGGAGCCCCCAGCCAGAAGCTACAGTTAATTGGCCTGCCAGTGGGCAGTATCTGCTAAGAGGATAGGGGTTAAATGAGCCAGAAAGACCTTGGCATCTCTTGCCAAGGTCAGAGGATGAAAGCCTGCATTCACAATGCCTAGGACGTGCCTTCTGTCTGTAAACAGAGTATTCATCTTCCACTTTCCCTTCCAGCAGCACTAAATACCTTAGAAAAGACAAACCGGCATGATCTGTCTTTGTGCTGCAGACAGTGCTGGTTTAGCACAGATAGGTAATGATTGTGTAATATCTGACAGACTCATGACTCTTGTGCATAATTCTAATGTAAATAACTGTTGGCAAAGTCATGATCCCATATACCGTTCACCAGTGCTCGTAGGCAGTTGTGTACCTCTCTGTTTTTTGGGGTTTTTTTTTCCGCCTGTGGTATGCTGGGTGTACACTTTTGATCACTTGACATCTTAGAAGCTATGACCTTGGACCCTGGAAGATAAAGACCCTGACTTGATATATCATAAGGCAAGAGGGGTTGGCCTGGACCTCGGACACCCATTAGGACTCGTTTGTAGATTCTCTGTAGCCGTGAAGTTTGATACAATATGCTCCTCGGTTATCAGACTAGCTGTCTCAGTTATCAGTGTTACTGATGACAGGACCTTACCTGAGACAATAAGACAGGTAGTTCACCGGCATGTCTGTGATGGAAGCAGGGAGCACTCCTTAATAACTGGGGAGGGTATCTGAGTCCAGGCATACTTAAAGTCGTCATTAGGCCCACAACATCTTTTTAGCTCTTAGGTTTCAACTGCTTCCAGAACATCTCTCTTACTAGCTCTGCCAGCAAGGGGCAGAGTAGTTAACTTGAATTTTGCCTCTTCCCTTTGCCTTTCTCCACCCTCACACAGTGAAGCGACCAAAATGTGTATAGGAGAGAAAAGGACAATCAGAAGTCCTCAAGAATATCTCTGGGAACTGAGAATCATTAATATTATTATATGAATAGTGATTGCAGAAAAATCTTAGGGAACAACGTACAAAAGATACAGAAAAATAAATACTTATCCTGGCCTTGGCTCCCATTGAGCTTTGATATCTTGTTTTCCCGTTAGAAATCTCAGATTGTAATAGTTGAGGAATCTCTCTATAATCTGCCCAAGACGAAGACTTTTAACATATGACCCAGAATCTCCTGCCATTCTCTTAGGCTCTCTTATCCTCCCTTCGAGACTCATGCATTTGTTTCTAATGACATTTAAATCTTTGCTTCTCTTCCTCTCTTTGGGACTGTTGTATTAACTTTCTGTCTGCTACCTCACTTCCTTTTCCATGCTAGCCAATGAGGAACACTGGCCGAAGGTATGTAAGATCATTTTTCCCCCTTTCTTTCCCTCCCCCTTCTTTCCCCTTTTGTTCCCTTCTCTCGGTATATAGGTCGTCCTCCAAAATACAATGCAGTGCTGGGGTTTGGAGCCCTTACCCCAACATCCCCCCCATCCAGTCATCCCGACTCCCCTGAGAATGAAAAGACAGAGGCCACATTCGCTTTCCCTGCGTCTGCCCAGCCTGTGTCCCTGCCCAGCCCCACCTCCACAGACGTAAGTAACGGGGAGCGCTCAGGCTCCTTCTCAGGCCTTAGATCGGGGAAGCTGTTGTCATGTGTTGTCTCCTTACCAGCTGCGTCTCCTTGACTGACCCTGGAATGGCAGTAATCCCCCCAGGACACCGTGTGCCACTTAGGCAGCTTTCTGCTGGGGCCCCTGGTCCTGCCATGAACCTGAGAATCATGTTAAATTCCACCTCAGGAAGCTCGGTCAGGGTTTTCAGTCTGGATTTTATCTGCAGTGAAGGAGTTCTCAGGCAGGGGGATGGGGTGGGGAAGTCAGCTCATATAACTGAGAGGTGTGCAGGCGTCTTGTCATCAGTTTTGGGGAGTGGGGATAATGGACAAAGGTGCACATTTCCCCCAGCAGTCCTTGTTTCTTGCTTCAAGTAGAATTCAAGACATGGAAAACTTTTCCTTCGAGCAACTTTATTCGGCAGAATTGATCAGAAACAGGTTTCTGAGAAAGCATCAGTACTTAAGAGGCCTGCCCCTGAGGCTGCAGGCATTTAGACTGCACCCCCCTCCGCCCCTCCACACACACACACACACACACACACACACACACAGACACACACACACACACACACACACACCTGTCTTTAAGCGAGCGCTTGCAGAGAGGTGACTTCGTCTAACAGACAGTGCGCACTGCTCTGCTGAGCAGGCACTGCTCCTGAGGCTGGGGACAGCACGGGGAACACAAGCAATCCCTGCCCTCAGGGAACTCACACTGCACGGCCAGAGGCAGGGGCTAAGCAAATGAACACTTAAATGTCAGGTGAAGAAGCGTGCAGTNCCTGTCTTTAAGCGAGCGCTTGCAGAGAGGTGACTTCGTCTAACAGACAGTGCGCACTGCTCTGCTGAGCAGGCACTGCTCCTGAGGCTGGGGACAGCACGGGGAACACAAGCAATCCCTGCCCTCAGGGAACTCACACTGCACGGCCAGAGGCAGGGGCTAAGCAAATGAACACTTAAATGTCAGGTGAAGAAGCGTGCAGTGAAGAAAAGGGGCACAAAGTCAGAGTTACGGCAGGAGGTCCTTTATGTGGACAGTGGTGAGAGAGATGGGAGTGGAGTCGGTGGGAACAGGCGTGGGGAGGCGTTCCGTGCAGAGGGGACGGCAGTGCAGAAGCCCTGCTCACAGGAGGAAGTGCGTGTGGCACAGAGAGGCACCTGGTGAGCACACGAGAGAACCTGTGGCAGAAGAGGCTTCGAGGCCCGGGCCCGTCTTGCAGGGCCTTGTAGCTTTAACTCTGAATGAAATGGGAGATGCTGGAGGGTTTTAAGTAGAAGAGTAGCATTACTTTTCACTTTTTATTTTGAAAAAATTTCAAACCTACCAAAAAGCTTCAATAACAACACAGAGAACAAGTGTATACCCTTCACCTAGATTCACCAACTGGTACAATTTTGCCACGTTTGCTATTCCCCACCCCTCCACACACACTTGTTTTGTTGTTCCAGTTAAGAAGTTGCAAACATCATGAAGCTTTACCCAAAATACTTCAATGTATATCTCCTAAAAACAAAGATATTCTCTGACATAGCCACAATAAGCTTATCAAATTGAGGAACTTTAATATGATAAAACGTTATTATGATGACATACAGCCCATCTTCAGGTTTCTTTAGTTGTCTCAGTAAATGCCTTCGCGGCACTTTGTTTTTTCTGTTCTAGGATCCAATCCAAGATCACTTTTGACATTAATTTTTATGGTGCTTTGTCTTTAGTCTCCTTACTCTGGAACTGTTTTTCAGCCTGTCTTTGTCTTTCATGACGTTACGTTTTTTGAAACATAAGCCACGTGCTGTATAGAGTGTCCCTCCATTAGGATGATCTGATTGTTTCCTCTAGAATAGATTCAGGGTGTGCTTTTCTGTGGGAGCATAAATACATGATGATGAGCCCTTCTCAGCGCATCTCAAGAGGCATGTGTTGTCCATCCGTCTCATTGTTGATGTTAGCTTTAATCTCTAAGGTAGACTCCACCAAATGTCTCTACTTGTAAAGGTGCCTATTTCCTTAGGTGCAGATAGCTTTGAGTCTGTAAAAATACCAGTCTTCAATTCAGTTCAGTCGCTCAGTCGTGTCTGACTCTTTGCGACCCCATGAACCGCAGCACGCCAGGCCTCCCTGTCCATCACCAACTCCCGGAGTTTACCCAAACTCATGTCCTTTGAGTCAGTGATGCCATCTAACCATCTCATCCCCTGTTGTCCCCTTCTCCTCCTGCCATCAGTCTTTCCCAGCATCAGGGTCTTTTCAAATGAGTCAGCTCTTTGAGTGAGGTGGCCAAAGTATTGGAGTTTCAGCTTCAACATCAGTCCTTCCAGTGAACACCCAGGACTGATCTCCTTTAGGATGGACTGGTTGGATCTCCTTGCAGTCCAAGGGACTCTCAAGAGTCTTCTCCAGCACCGCAGTTCAAAAGCATCAGTTCTTCAGTGCTCAGCTTTCTTTATAGTCCAACTCTCACATCCATACATGACCACTGGAAAACCATAGCCTTGACCAGCAGTCTTAATCAGTGGTGTTAGCATCCTTTGATGGTGCTTGCTTGCATTTATTATTTTTAAGGCATTTGCAGAATTGACTTGAGTTTTACAGGAGACTGAGGAGGACAGGGTGGAAGCACAGAGAGACCAGGTAGGAGGCTGCTGCAGGCATCCTGGCAGGAGCTGACGATGGCTTGGCGCAGTAGAGTGGCAGAAGCAGAGGTGGAGAAAACTGATCGGGTCTGCGTCTCTTGTGAAGAATGAGCAGAATTAGATAAGGGGATGTGACAAAAAAGAGAATAGCCAAAGATTTTAGCCTAAACAACTGAAAGGATGAAGCTGCCATTTATTGGAATGACAAGAGCAGGTTTGAGAAGAGAGACCAAGGAGTTAATCTTGTACATGTCCCATTTCTTTTGTGGATTACAGAGCTTGTCTTTACCTGAAGCTACATCTTCAGGTAAAATGTCCTTTCAGCTTGAAGGTTCTTTTTGTACTTATTAATGATCTGCATGCATGCATGCTAAGTCATTTCAGTCGTGTCTGACTCTTTACGACCCTATGGACTGTAGCCTACCAGACTCCTCTGTCCATGGGATTCTCCAGGCAAGAACACTGGAGTGGGTTGCCATGTCCTCCTCTGTTAGTGGTTTGCTCCTCTCCAAAGAGCAAAAGAATACCATGTGCAGAGCGCAAGTTAACAGTTGCAGAAGCAGCAAAGTCAGTGTTGTCTTGGAGGACCAGCGTCATGGAAGAGCCGTCTTCTCAGGCAGGTCTCCTTCCTGGGACATAGCCAAGGCTGCAGGCCTAGAATTGCTCTCAAGACTCAGCATTGGCTTTTGGCATTAGTGGTTGACACTGCCTGTCCTGTTAACGAGTACCAGGTCACTGTCAGAAACCTTGTTTGTTGGCCCCAAAGATTGTCTCCATTTTCCTCTGTCGAAGCATTGCCAAGGTATTGCCAGCTCACAGTTTCTTGGTAGGGATCCCTTACAAGGTGATGCACAAACGGTGGTGAACAGGTGATTGTGGATATGCAATTGAGTTATCATTGCTAAAGATGCTATTTTTATGACTTTTGACTTACAGGGTTTATGATTTTATTTGATTGAACCCAAAGGATCCATTCAGATCAAATCACAAACTGAAAAGCTTTTGCCAAGTTTCATCTTAAAATGCAAACTTTGTTCTTTTCAGGAATCTAAAGATGAAATAAAGCTTTCCTAAAACCACTAAATATGTTGAGAACCTTCTAGGTTACACAGTGGAATGGATGGGACTTCCCTGGTGGTGCAGTGGCTAAGGCTCCATGCTCCACATTGCAGGGGGCCCGGGTTCGATCCCTGGTCAGGAAATTAGATCCTACATGCCCCAGCTAAGACCCCAGAAAACCAAATAAATAAATAAAAACCCTAGTGGAGTGGATTTTCTTAAAGATAATTGACTTCTACTTTTCCAGTGTCCCAACAGTGGCAGTGATTAAAATCCGCGCACAGGGCTCTATCTGTGTTTGCCTCCAGGTAGTGTAAACCCCAGCAACATTAATTAAACAATCACAGTCAAAAGGCAAGCCTTTCCTGGGGATCAGTAATCATCCAGAAGGAGCTAGTGATATAAGACCCAGCCGGTCACTAATCTTCAGGATATACCTGTTGCCACTGTCATCATTTTCATGAGAAGAAAAGATATGTTGACACGGTTGAACATTCTTTTAGCAAATGATGAAGTTGTGATTGACATAGCCAAAAAACATACACCCCTCAGCTCCTAGCAGAGACTCCTGGGTCAGCCATCATTCAGCTTGCTGTTTGGTTTACGGTAGTATGGTCGTTCACCAAAGCCTAATAAGCTTTTGGACCTGGGGCAGCACCTCTGTGGGACTTCTGTGCCTCTTTAAACAAAGAATCAATTCTGTGTGGATGAAATACATATCCTGGCATTTTATATTCCATTTCAATGGCCAGTAGTTCTCAATGTGTGGTCTGCGTGTCCCTGAGACTCTTTCAGGGAAGTCAGAATATGTATTTTCAAATATAGTATCAATCAAAATATAAAATGAGAAATATTTTCATGATAGCACTAAAATGTTCTTTGCCATCTCAATCTCATTCTCTCAAGCGTAGGACAGTGACGTTTTCCACATACGACATGATCAGTGATGATGTCATCACTGTGAGGGCTAACCAAAGGTGTGCCTGTGTGTGCTTGGGTTTTAACATTTTTCAGTACATGATTTTTGTAACTTCCTGGTGATTGTTACTATTTCAAAATAAAAAAGCTTTAAAAGTTTTAGTACAATAAATAGCAATAGGTAGAACTCACATAAAGAAAAGCACTTTGAAGTAAACAAGAGCACTTTGAGGTAGACAAAAGCGCTTAGTAATTCTTAAAATTACTAAGGAGTCCTCACACTGAAAAGATTATGAACTGCTACTACAGGATATGTAAATAAGATAAGAGTTTTCTTTCCTTTAAGAACTTGAAAGAAATTATTTAACCTTTATTTTATGTACTCTCCACCTTCCATTTCCTGATGGTCTCTTACTCAGTAGCAAAGGGAAATGAACAAGAACTCTACCCAACAAATAAGATAGGTATTTGGGATAAGATGTCCAGTTTGTCTCATTTACTTCATCACTGATAATTTTACCTGTGGGTCATGTAAAAGAGTTTCGGAAACCATAAAATTTCTATAAACTCCTTAAAGTCGCAGACTTAAAGCATGTGGCTGTGGTTTAAGAAAGATGAGCTGTCTAGAGGAGCACTCCCCTCAGCCTGGTCTTAAGAACAAAAGAAGAAAGTCACAGCTCATCTAGGAAAGAAACTTTATGTCTTTCAGTGCCTTTGAAGTTAAGCTGTTATGCTGCATTCTCCTGCAGTATTTTTGCACGTGTACAAGTATCTTTTTTTTAATTGTCCAAAGATAACATTGTTTTACTAAAAAAGATTAGCATCCATCCATACTTTGATGTATCTTACAACTTTTTGCAGCCAGTTTTCTACTCCACCAGATACCCTAGATATGTAGATACTGCCAGATAGTCTCCTTTCCTTTCCTTTGGAGAGAAATTGTAGGTCTGAGAAGATAACATTCCTGAAGATCCCCTGGAGAAGGGAAAGACAACTCAGTCCAATATTCTGGCCTGGAGAATTCCACAGAGTCTATAGTCCATGGGATCACAAAGAGTCAGACAGGACTGAGCGACTTTCACTTTCACTTTCTGCAGTGGTGGCTGAAAGGTTATATCATAGAAAGGAAGAACTGGGCATTGCTCTGTCTATCTTTGCTTCCTGGGCAAACTTTCTGTATTAGACCTTCTGGCAGAATAGCATGGAATTCTAAAACAGCACACTGGCAGTGAAAAGGAGTCTGCCTCAAGTTGTGGCACTGCCTTCTCAGTTAACCTCTGGCAGGACCCCTCAGTCTTCCCTTCCCTGGTGTCATTAGCAACAGCAGTAGTCCTGTTCAGAGAACGGCCAGGGATTGACTCGCTGGAAACCACCTCTTTAATACCTCGTTTTAAAAAAATGTGTTCTCTCCAAATTTTAAATAGATCTGCTTTTTCCTGATAGTGCCTTTTGTCGTGAGGGCTCCTGCAGGCTCGCCTGAGTACCAGAACTGTCATGGGTGGGGGAGGGGGAGACTTGCAGAGGGCACTGAGGCTGCTCTTCTTCCATCTGGTGAAGCATCTCACAGGGAGGAATGCAGCCTCCCGGCATAGAATGGGCCATTGCACAGCCAGTGCCAGGAGCTGGTTTTAAGAGAGCACTGTCAGGTGTGTGGCTTTTTAATTCTTCATGTCAGAACGCTCGTAGGAGTTTAATACGCTCTGGACTTAAGCCTTTCCCATGTGAATTCTGACTATAGTTTTTCTCCCAGAACAAGCAAAGAGTTTAACGAAAGCCTACATTTTTTTGTCTGTCTGTCTTTTCCAATTTTTCTAAACTCCCCTGAAAAATGATAGGTAATGGGAATTTTTGGTATCGTATTGTGGAACACTTTGATGAATGGATTTCAAGGTCTTTTAACTTTATGATTTGTGAGTTGGACTGTACTAAAACATAAATGCTGAGCTGTTGCCTCTAAAGCTCATTTTGGCCTGGGAGACTAGAGTTACAGTCTGCTGTAAACTCTTAAGAATACCGGCCCCACCTGGGGAACCCCAACTGTATGGACCAGGTGGGGGGCTTGCACCATTGGTAATTCCTACTTTTCCTGAGCACCCTTGTAATGAGTTGGAGGGGCACAGCTGAGTGTCCTAAAGCATTTATGTGTATTCAGAACGTGCATGTTAACATTCAGCTTTTACGTTTTTGTCCTTTCTTTACCTTTCCTCACAATGTCATAGGGTGATATCCATGAGGATTTTTGCAGTGTTTGCAGAAAAAGTGGCCAGTTGCTGATGTGCGACACTTGCTCCCGTGTATATCATCTGGACTGCTTAGACCCTCCTCTGAAAACGATTCCCAAGGGCATGTGGATCTGTCCCAGATGTCAGGACCAGGTACTGTGGGGTGGGTCAGAGAGAACGAGGGATGGAGGAGGAGAAAGACCCCCACTGCCATCTGGGGGAATGGCTTGGTCTCTCCCCACTCCAGTAGTTCTCCAGACCACGTCTGCCATACTCACAGGACAGCCCTCACCTGCAGAGCCTCTATCCTCTCAGAGGTCCTCAGTTCATGAGGCAGTAACTCATGTAAGGTGGAGAGACAATAACTGCTTCTCTCTATTTGAAATGACGTATCTTTTCATTACCATTACCCTTTAAAGTCCACAGTACTGTCTGCCTCATTCTCTAAAAATGGTCCAAACTCAGCATATGGTTGAATGTCTGGAAAGAAAATCCTTAAAGGAGAATGTGCAATTGATCGTTTTAATTCAAATAAGAACAGTTTTACTTTTAACCTGAGTTCTCATCAGGATCAGAGCACTGACTATATAAAGTACTGTCTTAATATTTAATGCACTTGAAAGAAGAGAAACTGTGCTCCATCCCTCTCCTTTCTGTTTAGTTTCTGATTTTTTTTTCCCTCAGTGATTCGTATATATCTTAATGTTTTTATGATAAGCTGTCCTGAGACCTTTTTGAATATAGGCAAGTGTATAAATAGTAAATAAGCCGAGTACTCAGCAAGCTTTAGGAGCCCTGCTCAATTCTTTGGAATCCTGATTTGGGAGACTTCTGGTCTCCCCCTTTAAATCTTTAGTCTTCGTCCTTACTGTCTCTGTGATGTAGTAGAGACAGTCCTTGTACTGATGCTGCTTTGTGACCCTCTGATAACTTTCTCCATGGGGTCTAGATTATACTTCAGTGTTTGGGGTTGATATTTAATTTCCTTGATCAGGCTGTCTTTGAGGGACATATAAGCTGAAATTGAGATAGGCAGCGCGTGTCAGGTCGAGGATGAACCTGCCCATGGTTCTGCCTTCATGCAGATGTGCAGCTTGTGTGCTGACGGTTCTGGCCATGGGGCGTGGCTGAGAGTCGCGCAGCAGGTCTGAGAAGCTGGGGGCGCCCAGCCCCGCCCCCGCCCGTTCCTCAGGCTCAGGCGGCTCGGCTCTTCCTGCCGCTGACCGTTCCTCTCTCATGCTGGTAAACTGGAGCTCCGTAGTCCAGAAACTACAGCCATGGTTCTGCCAGACTGCCGCCACAAACCCTTCCTGGATCTCGTCTGCCGATAGCGACAGACGCTGTTGCTTCTTGTTACACAGTGGGGTGTGCTTATTCTTCTTTCTCAAGGATAAACTTCTGAAAATCTTTTCAGATGCTGAAGAAGGAAGAAGCAATTCCATGGCCTGGAACTTTAGCAATTGTTCATTCCTATATTGCCTACAAAGCAGGTAAAGAATTATCCATACTGCCTTTTGAATGAGCCTGCCTTTGTTTAAAAGTACTGACAGTGTTTGTTTTGTTTTCAAAAGGAACTTTAAAGTTACACATGAAAAGCTTTTATTGAATGAAATAAAAAAAGTTGGTTGTAGTACTTTGTTGGGGAGGAAAACTGAGAAGTGAGATCTGTTTATGTAATGCCAGGCCCAAGCCACTGACAGTCTTCTTAGTGTCCTTTTACATGTAGAAGAGAAAGTCCAGGTGAGCAGGTTCTGTGCTCTGATGGCACATGGGACTAAGTTCTTTTTTTTTTTTTTCCCAGCAAAAGAAGAAGAGAAACAGAAATTACTTAAATGGAGTTCAGATTTAAAACAAGAACGAGAACAACTAGAGCAGAAGGTGAAACAGCTCAGCAATTCTATAAGTGTAAGTCAGCCTCATGCCTTCAGTATCGGGTACAGAGATGCAGAACTTCATGTGTACATCAGAGGATGTGTGGCTGTCATGGGCTGATGCATTCCTTCAGCGTATTGACACTGCTGCCTTAGGCGGGTGCAGTTTGCCTCCAGTCAGAGTCTGGTCCTCAGGTACAGGGGGCCAGTTGGTACATGGGGCCAGTTGGTACATGATTCCTGAGCCAAGCTCTGGAGCATCCTCTTGGCTTTGATCTGAGAGATTATCAGTCTCCAGATTTTCTCTGCTACTTGAAGAGGTCAAGTAGCGGCTACAGGAGCATAGCCAGCACCCCCGTGAGCTCCTGAGCATGTTGGGAAGAGTGTGGAGCCGCCTGAACAGACCAGGTCCCCATGTGTGACTCTACCCAGTCGCTCTAGCTAGCTAGTGGGCCCATGGGGAGGGCCTTCCCTCCTGTCCCCTCTCCCACGCCCTGCTGATCGCCTCTCTAGGGTCCCCGGCGCAGCTCGAGAAGGAGTGCTTTCTGGAGATGAGTACTGGAATTAAACACCGCCCAGCCTGGCTGACCAGGTGGGAAGGAGGGCTGTGTTTGCTGCAGGGATTCAGAGGCTCCTCCTGACTGGAGCAGGCTTTCTTTCCCACTGAGTAGGTCCCTTTTCCACTGAGTAGTTCCCCTTGTTGCAGTGAGGTGGCCCTAACCCTCGTGGACGCCAGGTGGTACCCTGGACTTTGTGGCAGTCTTGCTGTCCTTCCTCATTTTACTGCCCATTGTGGCTGGCAGGTTTCACATCACTTTCCCTGCATAGAACAGAAGCCAGCAGGTGTGGGAGGCCTCATCAGTTCAGTTCAGTTCAGTCGCTCAGTCGCGTCCAACTCTTTGTGCCCCATGAACTGCAGCACACCGGGCCTCCTTGTCCATCACCGACTCCCGGAGTTTACCCAAACTCATGTCCATTGAGTTGGTGATGCCATCTAACCATCTCATCCTCTGTCGTCGCCTTCTCCTCCTGCCCTCATATACCATGGCCAAAGGCTACCTGTTCTTGACAGAGTAGAAGGCCTTCTCTTGGCTGCAGTCTTTGGGTCTCCTAAATATCACTTGACTATCCCGCCTTAGGGCCCTGCCTCTAAAATCCTACTGTCCCAGTGGCCTTCAGTAGGCCCTCAAACTGAATCCAGATACCACTGGCTTGTGTCTATCCTGGAAAACTCAGCCCAGTCCTGGAGCCTATCAGCATATTAGCAAGGTAGAAGCATACCCAGACCTGCTCAAACCAGCTTCAGCTCTGCTGTGAGAGCCTTTTTTTTTTTTAAATGCTTTTTATTTTGCAGTATGATAGTGGTAATTCATGTTTGGCTGTAAATCCTAGTGTCAAGAAGTGGGCTTTGAAACCAGTCACTTGCTCCCTCTCTCTCGCCTCTTGGGCCTCCTCCTTCCCTTGGGTAGCAGCACCCGCTCGAGGTGGAGCAGAACAAGGTATAGGGCTGCACCCTAGCCAACAGGGATTCTTGTGTCTGGAGAGGGCTGCCGGGCCTGTCAGGACAGCCAGAGGCTCAGTGCCACTGCCCTTCTCATTGGCTGCAGAAATGCATGGAAATGAAGAACACCATCCTGGCCCGGCAGAAGGAGATGCACAGCTCCCTGGAGAAGGTAAAACAGCTGATCCGCCTCATCCACGGCATCGACCTCTCCAAACCTGTAGACTCTGAGGCCACTGTGGGGGCCCTCTCCAACGGCCCGGACTGCACCCCCCCTGCCAACGCCAGCACCTCCACGCCGGCCCCCTCCCCACCCTCCTCCTCCTCCCAGAGCTGCACAGCGAACTGTAACCCGGGGGAAGAGACTAAATAACAGAGCCCCGCTAGGAGAAGCCACGAGATCCCGGCGGCAAGGAGAGCAGAACCCTGAAGACTCTAGCAAAGCCAAGCCGGGTTTCTTCTGGGAAGTACAGAATTCTTTTGGTTCTTTGGTTCCAGAGAGAGAGAAGATGCTTGTGCCAGGTGGCACCAGAGTTTGCCAATTGATCCTTCTTATTCTGTGTGTACATGCAAAGATTGGACCATGTTACATGAAATAGTGCCAGCTGGAGGTTCTTTGCCAGCACCATGCCAAGTGAAATAATATATTTACTCTCTCTATTATACACCAGTGTGTGCCTGCAGCAGCCTCCACAGCCACGAGGGTTTGTTTTTGTTTTGTCGGGTGGGGAGCAGGGCCGGGCGGAGGGAGGAGAGCAGGTTTCAGATCCTTATTTGCCGAGCCGTTCGTTTAGGTAGAGAAGACAAGTCCAAAGAGTGTGTGGGCTTTCCTGTTTCTAAACTCTCACTACTATAAAACCAAAAAGAGGAAATGGAGATTTCACCAACCCCAGTGCCCAGAGGAGGGGTGGGGGAGGGGATGGGAGGGAGCCGGGGTGGGAAAAGCATACCGAATAAGCAGTATTTCATAGTGGGCACCGTGCCCGGAAAGATGGACACCAAGAACCAGCCTCCCGGTTCTTCTCTGGAGCACCCCGTTCCCAACTGTGGGCGCCCCCACGCTCCCCAGGTTCCTTCCCTGCTTTGGCAAATTGGTGCCATCCCCACGGGTGAGCTGGTTACCTTCCCTCTCCAAGAACAAGCAGAACCAGGCCTCAGGTGGCCCTTGCCCGGGGCAGGGAAGAAGGGTGTGTGTGTGTGTGTGTGTTGAGGAAGGAAAAACGGTGGATCAGTGATTTTACTTGAAAACAAGCTCCATCCCTTTTCTATATTTATAAGAAGAGAAGATCCTGAGCGAAGCAGCACGCGACCCAGGTGTGTGTGAATCGAATGGAGATGTTTCTTTTCTCTCTTTTTTTTTTTAAATTTTTGTTTTTGTTCTTTTTTCTTTTAAAAAAAAGTTTTATTTTGTTGTTTATTTTACTTTTTTGGTAACAAAAACTAAAATAAGGAATAGAAAAGCTGTTTTTCAGGCTGACAGTCCAATTAAGGGTAGTCGAGACCTTGCATGGTAGAATAGGAATCATAGTGTCAGTGAGGTCCAGTGAGTCTGTGTGAGTCCTTGTGTCATCGTTCGGGGCACTGTTTTTTTATGCAAGGGCAAAAATCTTTGTATCTGGGGAAAAAAAAACAAAACAACAACAACTTTTTTTTTTTTTAATTAAAAAGGAAAATAAAAGATATTGAGGTCTTCCTAGTGTTACTTAAATTAAGATCAAGGTAAGAAACATTGTAAAAAAAAATTACAAAAGTGCTATTTGTTTCCTAAAAACAGTGATTTCTATTAAAAAGGTGTCAGAACTGGAGAAAATGCTGTGTAGTTATAATTTTTTAGCACAGAACCTGCTGATCATGATGACATTTTGCTGTGTTTGTGTCTCAAGACTGGTGGGCTAGTCCCCGTGATTTCTGTCCTCCGGACAGCTGCAGCCCTGAAAGGCAGGGGCAGAGCTCTCCCACCATCCTCCCTTCCTCGGAAAAGACTGTCCTCCCTGCTTGGTGCAAGGAGCTGGGCTCCCGTTTCTGGAGCCCACATGGAGCGCGGATGGTGTCAGGGCCCTGCTTCTTGTCTCCTCGGGTTTTGCTGGAGCAAAAGGCTGGTGCCTAAATAAGATCCTTCCTTTGGTGCTGCTCTTGGTCTTTCAGCCACCAGCATTTCGAGTGCCTGGGGGACAGCTTTGAAGGGAGTGGCCAGTGAAGCTCACTGTTGCCCACACAGCCCAGCTTTGAAGGGTGCAGGGAGCAGGCTGGCTGCATCAGCCCTTGGTGCTTAGAGAGAACGAGGGAGTGAGATGTCTTGAGGGGACAGGGTGTCTCTCAGACGAGGGAGTCCCTGGGCGGACTTTGTGTCTGCACGCCTTTGAAGAGAGGTCTGCATCTCCAGCTGCTTTCTCTGCCTGCTGGCTCCAGGCACTGGCGATGGGAGTCTTACCCCACTTTGCCCACCCACAAGCTTCCTGGGTGACCTTTGGCTAGAACGCTGTGCTTGCCTTGGCTTGGCCTGTCGCCTTCTTGAGAAAAACCAGGATTCTGAGAGGCTCAGACCATTTCTGTCATTTTTGCCTTGTGGGAAATAAATTTTTGTCACATGTGCACTCCTGCTGGAGACCTTTGCCCACGGCACACATCTGGCCCCAGGAGAGAGGCAGAGACTCTGTGCCCGGGCACTCCCAGAGCATCTCCCCCAAGTCTGCCCCGTGTCCAATAAGGGCCAGAGTGTAGGAGGGGGCAGAAAGGGACCAGTCATCTCTCCCTCACCTAGTGCGGCCCGGAGAGACAGAGACGGACCCTGAAGGCGACTGTCACAGAGCAGTCCTTTGCACGTAAAATGTGTCTCTTCTCTACCAACCATTTTCGTTCCTCTTCCTGGGATGTTTGTTAGAAGAGGGGATGAGGAGGGGGCTGCACCGGCCTCTTGAGAGTCAGGGCGTGGCTGTAGGGTTGCCCAAGGGGGAAAGAAAGGCACTCCCTCTGCTCATGCAAAAACCAAGGTGCTATGTCTAGTCAGGGAGCGTTGGGAGATGCCTGGACTCGTTGGAGGAATGGTTGGCAGGGCTTCAGAGCCCGGAGGCGGGCTGTGTGCCCTGTCTTGGAGTCCTCCCATCGGACTTGTCTGGGCCCGGAAACAGGAGGTGGCCGCTTAATACCTGTCTTCTTGAAAGAAGAGGCCTTTGCTCAGGAAGGAGCCCCCGGGGATTCTCAGGGGTGGGTGGCCGGGCTAGGAACTGACAGCAGGGTTTTGCAGGCTGCTGTGAGCAGGCATTCTCTGACCTTGCTTAGGGTTGGGGTGCGATTCTTCTCAAGTTCAGATGGAAGCCGTTGTGCTAGTCAGCTAGGATGACTGAGTGAAAAACTGCAGCCCTGCCCCCAAACCCACATTCTGGATTCAAATCCCCAAACTCCCCTCACTGCAGAGGGAAGGCCTAGTCACCCATGTCCTCCTCCTCCACTGTCCTGCCAAGAGAAGAGCCTCCCCGTCCCTCCAGACCCGAGGGTCCATGTGACCACCCGAGACACACCTTCATGACCACCCCACCTCGCTCTTCCTCTCCGCTGTTTTTCCCCATGTCCGGATGTAGCCACAGACAGGCATGTCCAAGGGCAGCCGGCTTGTGGCCACTTCAGAGGCCAGGGGAGCGGCTGGTCAGGGACTGGGACTGATCCAGCTGCCCACTTGGGCTGGATCAAGAGGCCTCTTGTCAGGCCCGCAGCCACGGTGACGCGCCCTGGAGGCAGTGAGGTCATGTTGCTGTCATCTTCCCTGCTCACATTCTTGCCAGTGTGGCCTGCAGCTCCCTTTTTCTTGCAGAGCCTGCTGGGTCTTGTCTCACCGGCTCTTGTCTCACCTCCACTGAGCTAATCCAGAGTTCTGCTTGCTTCCTTCCTTACTGGGCCAGGGAGGCCCCGCTCGAGACAGCCCCTCACGGGCCTTAACTTGTGTGGGGCCTGTACCGTGGCCACGGCGGCCTCCGGCTGGCACCCAGTGCCCAGTGTCCCTGCTGGCCTGCTGTGTCCCTGTGGCTTCTTGACTCAGGCTCAACCGGGCGTGTGAGTGGGGCGCGCTTCCTCGCCCCACGCCTCTCCCGTGAGGGCGACCGTGTTTCCAGCTCACTGCAGTCTCTGTGTGCGGTCGCCTCTCCAGCCATCTCTGCCTCCTACTCCTGGGGCCAGCAGAGCCTTGTTGGGCTCTCATCCCGAACCACGACGACCCACACAGCACACTCATAGCAGTTTCCTCCCTACATTCCCTTTTAGGGTTTAGTCTTTCTCATTTATCCAAAGGGCTTAATTTAGGAGACTTTTACCCCAGGGGAAGAAGGCTTTTTGGTAGGAGGGAGAATGGGGGCCCAGGTACATCTTCCAGTCCCTGGGTTCTCCAGATTGCGTGGCTTTTGTTGGATGGAGGTGACCTTGCTCTGTGTGAAAAAGAAGACCGTGGACCTCACCCCCACCCCTCAGCTGGGCACCCTTGGCAGGAAACGGGAGACCTGTTCTCTTGGGCTTAGAGCCGTCCTCAGTGTCAGCTCCTTTCCAGGAGGTGAAGGGTGACCCTCCCACCAGGGTAAAGGGGAAGAACTGGAGGGTTTTCCTATTTAGAGAGCCCTGGTGGAGCTCCTGAAAATAGCCCTTGTCAAGGAAGAGCAGGGCTCACGTCTCTTCACTCTCCGCCCACAGAGGCTCTTGTTCCGAGGACTCCACCAGCCCCACAGCAGCCTCTGGCCCCTGTCCCTCTCTCCGCTGTTGCTGGGTCCTCAGCCCAGGGTACGCTGCAGTCAGGCAGGACCGCCGGAGGTCAGTGAGCTCTGAGCAGAAAAGTGCCAGCCAGCTCCCAATCTGTCTCTTGTCCAAGCCCTTTGTGATTTCAGTCTTGGGTAGAACTTGTATTTGGAGTTTTGTGCTTCAAAGTTTTTGTTTTTGTTTGTTTGAGTTTTGTTTTGAGGGGGTGGGGGGGATACAGAGCAGCTGATCAATTTGTATTTATTTATTTTAACATTTTACTAAATAAAGCCAAATAAAGCCTCTCAGACTCATGGTGTTGGGTTTGCGGCAGGGGAGGGTGGACAGGAGGCACACACTCCAGTCCCGGCCTCCAGGGGAGGGCCCCGTCCCTGGACTCCTGCCAGATCCAGCACCTCCCCAGGCTTACTGACTGGCTCATGCCCCAAACCAAGAGGACCCTGGAAAAGAGCTGTTAAAACTTAACGGAAAAAGGGATGTTACGGTTGAGAGGATGTAGGAACCAGCCCCAAACCAGCTGGGGTTGAGGAACACTAGACCCACCCGACCAGCAGCAGCACACGGGGGCCCCAGGCCTCACCACACAGGTGCCCCCCACAGCCCCTCCCTGGAGACCTTAAGTAAGCAGGGAGGGTGGGGAGGCGGCAGGGCTGCTCCTGCGGGCGGCAGGGAGTGTGTGTGAGAACCACGGCGAAGACGGCGGGTAGCCGCGAGGTCAGGCGGGGCCTCGGGGCTGCTGCAGGGCAGTGAGGTATTTGAGGGCAGCAGCCCCGTAGTGGCGGGACAAGTCCTGGTGGAACTCGTCCTTGAGGGCCCGGAGGCAGTCACGATAGGTGGGGTTGGAGCGGAAGCGAGTGATGTCAAGGCTTGGGGCGTGTGGCAGGTGGATGGTGAAGGCCTCGGGCAGCACCAGGAGCTCGTATTCCTGGGGAGGGCAGGGGACAGTCACTGTGTAGGCTGGGGGAGCGTGGCAGCTCTGGGGCATGGGGAGCAGATTCATCCAAAGTCAGAGACCTGAGTTCTACAGAGGGCCCTTCATGGTATGGTGTGCCACTGGATAGTGAGGTCCTTGGGCCTGCTGTTTAGTCGCTAAGTCACGTCTGACTCTTTTTGTGAACCCACAGACTGGAGCCCGCCGGGCTCCTCTGTCCATGGGACTTCCCAGGCAAGAACACTGGAGTGGGTTGCCCCTTCCTGCTCCAGGGGAATGTTCCCAACTCGGGGATCGGACCTGTGTCTCCTGTACCGGCAGGTGGGTTTCTTTCCTCTGAGCCACCCGGGGCAACCCTCGCTGGCCCTCGAGGTATTCTCAGATCAAGGCTGGAGACAGCAGGGCGGCCCTCACCTGTGCGTCCAGCTCTATGATGTGGGCCACCTTGTTCCAGCCAAAGCCCACGAAGCGGGGATCGTAGCGGGGACAGTCATGTGGCACCACCACGTAGGGCTCGTAGTCAGCTGCCCACTGCACTCGGTATGGGGCCTGAGCCTCCCGCCAGCGGGCGTAGTCTGTGGGCGCGTGGCCCTGGGGCCACTCATGGTACCTGTGCCAGGGCAGGGTAGGGCGGGGGACCAGTCTGAGGCTGATGGGGGTCGGTGTGGGGAACTGCAGCGCTGGGCGGGGCTAGGCCAGTGGCCTCTCCCACCTGAAAGTGTAGAGAGACCCGGCGTCCAGCAAGGTCAGCAGTTCGGCTTTGGAACTGGGGAAGCGGAAGCGGTAGTGCAGGGTCTCGAATGCGGGCACCACCAGGGCCGCCTTCCGCCTGCCGCCCAGCTCCAGCTGCTCAATGGAGGCCCTGAGGAGGGAGCACGCCGTGAACCGCAGAGAACTGGGGGGGCTCTGCCTCCAGCCCTGGGCCCGGGGGTTCTCGGGGGCCAGCACACCCTGCGGCGCGGACGCTGCAGGTCAGGAAGGAGTGGGGGTGCCCCGCCAGGGCCCACGGGTGCCCCCGACCCCGTCCACACCCGCCCGGCCCACCTGAGGTAGTCATAGAGGGAGTGGGCGGGCAGGAAGTCGATGTCGCTGAGGAAGACGTAGGGCGTGAGCGCCTGGGCCAGGGCCACGTTGCGGAGCTGGTTGATGGGGTAGAGGGAGCCCTCCCGGTACACCACGTGGTAGGCCACGTCCTGCCGGGCAGAGAGCACCGCCGAGGTCTCCACGAAACGCAGGAACTGCTGGGCCTCTGCGTCTGTCAGGTACAAGGCCAGGCTCATGGGGCCCGGCCAGTGCCTGCACAGGGCTTCCAGCATCTGCAGCCTGGGGTGAGGGGGGTGGTCAGTCCAGGGGAGGGCTGGGCTGCCTCCCGCACGTGCGGACAGCCCCCTCCAGTGGCTTGCTGAGCCCCTTCCAAGCACTTTGCGAACTGTTCTTATTTCATCTTCACAGCCAGCCCACAAGGTGGGTACTTTCTCATTTGACAGATGAGAAAACTGAGGGTCAGAGATACTAAGCTTTGCCCACGGTTCCACAGCTACGGAGGGCAGTTTCCCGACACGTGGGTGATCCCCACAGCCCGAGCTCCTTCTACCGTCTCTCCAGTGTCTCCAGCTCCTGGAACTCCTCAAGCATCAGGCAGTAAGAGCTCTCCCTTCCACCAAGTGGAACCCTCCTCTTGAAACTCCCAGACCGTGCACGGTGCCCCCTGGGGCTGCCCTTGGCTCCCTCACCGCTCCATGGAGAGCTGGGCCACCAGGGTGACGTCGTGGGGCTGGGTGGGTGGCGGCTTGTGCGGCAGGAAGGTGATGTGCACACGGTGCACGGTGAGCCGCTGCTGCTGGAACTCAAAGCAGGTGTCCTGCTCCTCCAGTTGTGCCAGGGCCTGCTGCAGCTGGGGGGTCGTTGCAGAGAGGAGGACGGGCTGGGTGGGCAAGCGGACAAGCCCCAGACAAGGCCAGGTTCCACCGGAGCAGGAGGGAGGGGGTGCAGAGCCTCCCTGAGGAAAGGGAAGGGAAGGTGACTCCCTCTCACCTGCTCAGCCCCAGGAGGGGGCGGGCAGGGGCACCCAAAGAGCTCTCTCCGCAGCAGGTTGCCATCATACTCCAGGAAAGTCAGGTAGAGGTTGCGGAAGGATTCCACGTGCTTGTTCTTCACGCGAAGCTTCTTTGGTGAGTTCCAGTGGATCACCTGGGATCAGGGAGGGCATGGGAGGGGATGGGGGGGACGGGAGCTGGGAGCAGGAATCCGCATGGGAGCCCACCGCCACCGCTCAGCACCCCCACCCAGCTCACCTTGAGGTCAGACGCCTCCGAGTAGCAGCGCTCAGCCAGCGTGTGGTCTGACAGCTGCACGTTCCATATGCAGGGCAGGGGCTGCACCAGCCACGGGTGCGCCTTGATGACGGCATTGAAGATGTCCTGGGCAGGGACAGTCGCTGTCACACCTCGGCCCAGAGCCCGCCCCCACCGCCCTCTGGTGCCCCCAGACCTGGTCGGCCAGCGAGGTGGCAGACAGGGTGAGGAGCTCTCGCGTGGCCGTCAGCTTCCACATCTGCTCCCAGCCAGCCTGCCGAAGCCGGTCCAGCTGTAGGAGTATCACGCCTGCTCAGGGGGGAGAGGCTGTCATGCCCACCTGGGATGACCAGCTCCTGGGGCCAAGGCTCCTGAAGGGGTCTTCCAAATGCTTGTTTTTGTGCAGTGTTCATATTTTCTGACTGCTCAGACATGAGTGTGGACTAGCTGTGTCCACAACTAACCCTCTTCGGGGTGAAGGGGAGGCAAAGCACAGTTTACAAAGCACCCCCACAACCATCTTCTTAGATTCAGTGATCCCAGGGCTGGGGAAATCATCCCCATTTAAAGGATGAGAAAACTGAGGCTCAGCGGAATCAAGTGACTTGGCCAAAGGCATCTAGCATCATTAGCCCAGGTGGGAACTGTAATTTCTGGCTCTTCTCCCAGTGTTCTTTATACAGAACAGTTCTTGGGGGCCTCCCAAACATTCTATGCCCTAACCAGCCCCAGGGACCCAAGGATTAGTGGCTGCCCTCCTGCCTCTCCCCGCAACCCCCACACTGTCCCCACCTGTGTTAAATCCCCGGCCCAAGGCAGGCCAGGGCCTGTGATTCCTCCAGAGGTTGCCGAGGTACCAGTCGCTTTGGTTCTCCACGAGACCAATCGCTTGCTTGTCTGGGAGGGAGGGCACGAGGGAGCTGTCTAAGGCTGCCACTGGACCTCAGCTCAGGGTTAGGCCACAGGGAGGCCTGGATGGGCCAGGGAAGGGGGCTGACTGGGTTGGGGTCCCAGACCTCTCACCAGAAAAGTGAGCAAAGAGTGCCCAGAGTTCTGCAATGTCGGAGGCAAAGGTGACATCTGTGTCCAGGACAATGACACGGGCCAGGTCGGGGGGTAGGGCACTGGGCAGCACTAGCTTCATTAGCCCATAGAGGCCAGAGTAGTGCTTGTTGGGGATCCAGGAGACCTGGGGCTGTGGGTGGAAGCACAGGGCGTGAGCCCGCAAGAGAAGGGCTTACCAGTGTCGGAACATACTCGAGGTGACGTACCCAGGAGGGTGAAGGATTGGTGCTTCAGTAGATGTGATGGGACTGGGTCCCAGACAGCTCTAACCTGCCCTCCCACTGATCCCCCCAACCCTGGGAGGAACGAGGCGGGCAGAAGGGCTGGGGCTCCTGCCTTGAGCTCGTCAGCATTGTAGAAGCTGATCTGGACAGCAGGCACCATCCATGTGTGAAAGAGCATCTCCAGGATGTTCCTGGCCACAGCATCGGTCACCAGGTGAAGGTGCAGTGGATTTTTCCTTCAGGAAGAACAAGGGAGGAAAGCTGATGGGCCCCAGAAGGAACTACAAGGGACGCGAGCCCTGCCCTGAGGGGCTCGGAAGTGGAAGCACCAATTGCTATCACGAGCTTCTCCCTGCCCAGTTCAGGGTATTCTCAGAGCCTCCTTCCAGGGAGGAAAGGGACACTCCTGGCTGTACCTATAGAACAGCAGGGACTTCACCAGGGTGACGACATCTCTGCTGGAGTCATGTCCTGCACAGACGATGGCCACCTGCAAGAGCTGGGGAGGGGACAGCAGGTCAGTGGACTCCAGACGGGAAGGACCTGGGGTTGGGTTGACCCGGCCTAGGGCAGTGTAGCCCCACCTGGCATCGGAGCTAGGCCGGAGTGTGGAGGGGGGGCTCCACGCAGCTGGGGTACACCCCCCTCATTTCCCAAATGGGGAGGCCGGGGCCAGGAGAAGGGCAGGTGTGAACCCGAGGCGCCCCCGGCTGGCTGGTCAGTGTCAGAGCCCACACCAGGTGTTGGGATTCCCACAGGTGTCCAGGTCCCTCGGCTTGGGGGCGCGGGGGGACCCTGGCATTCCCGCCGCCAGGGGCCGTGCGCACCTACCTACCTCGCACTTGGGCAGCGGCGGCGGCGGGATGCAGTCCGAGCGGTTGTGGCCCCCGGGGTCTGCCGGTGGGACTCCATCGAAGGCAGCGGCCCCCCGCGGCCGCAGCCGCCCGTCTGAAGGTACACGTGGCGTTGGCGAGCCGGGTACGGATCCCGGGTCACCCCCGCCACCCTCCCCCCGCCTCGCCTCCCGCTCGCCGCCTAGCTCACAGTCCGGGTCCCCGCCAAACAGGAAGAAGCCGATCAGTAGCAGGAGCAGCAGCAGCAACGCTGCTGCCCCCAGCGCCCGGGGGCGCCCTCGGAGCAGCATGGCTGCGGGCAGGGGTCCTCACGGCGGGGCGCGACCCCGGGCTATGGGCTCCATCAGGCCTGGGCGGCGGGGCCCGACGGCCACCCGGCGACGGCCACCCGGTCTTGTCTCCCGCCGTTGAGTCGCCACCTCACCTGCTCCAGGGGCGTGGGGTCCCCAACCTTACTCTCTCAGAAGCTGGCTGGGGTGCAGGAAAGGGGAGGTGGAGGCGCCGGCCAGCCCCGACCGAGCCGGAGCCAGCCCCGCCCCCAACCTGGGTTCAGGTTTCACCTCCGCTTGGCTGAGTCCGAAGGGGCGGGGAGACCCCCCCTGGGGGCAGGAGGAGGGGAGGGCTGACCCGCCCCGCTACCAGGAGCCCCTACAAGGGGAAGGAAGAAATGCGGGAACCCTCAGGGTGGCCGGAGGGCTCGGAGGCAGCCACCCGTGAAGGACCTGTCCGAAACTACCTTCTTTGAGCCCATCCCCCTCTTCCCTGCCCCGCGAACCTTCCCCTGCGGGAGGGGCAGGGTCCCCAGGCCTAGGATCAAAGGAATAGCCAGAATTAGGGAGAGGGGACTGGGCTGGAAGGAAGGGCCTGGCGGGGTGGGGGCTGGGGAGTGGGGTCGGGACACCTGCTCTGGGGCGGAGGCGGGGCTTGCGGCCAAGACCCGCCCCGGAGCCGCGGAGCACCTGGAGTCCCAGCTTTCCTCCGGGTCTGCTCCACCCCCCACTCGGTGCAGGTGGCCTGGCGGCAGAAAACCCGCCTTGTGAAGGTCGCCTTCCGCCCAGGAGCTGGCCAGGGGCCTGCTGGGCAGCGCCGGGAATCCCCAGCCCTTGCCTAGACCGTCGTGGTTGTGCCAGGCCCCGAGCCTGGATCTGTCTTCTCCCGCCCTGGAGGGATGGGGGCGGGGGGGGGGGGGGTCCACTCCAGGCCGCCAACAACCCATCACCGTTGATGGAGCCAGAGTGCCTGTCCTCTGCTCTAGGCCCTGTGCTGAGGTTCCCCAGCCTCGCAGCAGGCAACCCTCAGTCAGTCCTGTGCCGCGGGCTGGGTTCTCCCTGCAGAGCTGAAGTGACCTGTTAGAGCACCCTCCGGGGGTCTACCCGGCAGCGAGCCACTCCTCCCTAATCCTGGCCCAGCACCTGCCCTTGAGGTTCCAGCTCCCGGATCCTATCAGATGCTCACAAGGTAGGCCTCTCCTTCCACATTCCTTGGCTTGTTGTTTTCCTCATTCTCGCAAGGAGACCTCACTGACTTGTTTATAGCTTGTCTCCCCTGCAAGGTAGCTGCTCATCAGACTAGGCCTCTAGCATCCAACCAGGGCCTGTGAGTATGTGCTGAACACGGATGGGCCGTCGTGTGACCTGGAAAGGAAGGGGTCCAGGCAGTGTCCTTCAGCCCAACTTCCAGCTGTAACAAGTGAGGGTCTGAGAGGCCCCCGCCCAGGAAGAAGTTGTGGCAGAGCAGCCCAGCCTGAGACCACACACCCCCCGCCTCGCCTCAAGTCTCCCTGCTCTGTGAGGCCAGGATGCCTTTCTCTGGGAAATGGGGGTTCTGCAAGGAAGGGCTGGCTTTGGGCCTTTGGAGGCCAGGGGCAGCGGTTACTATGGAAACTTGTGCGGCTCCTCATACATCTGGGAACTGAGAGATGAACGGAGGTAGAGTCCGCTGATGTGTCTGGAGCTTCGAACCTTCAGTCCCCCGAGCCTCATTTCTAGCCTGGAGCTGGGATGAGTGTGAGTGAATCCCTCCCCAGGCCCCTCAGCAGAGACTGCGGGGGAGTAGATAGGGTACCCTGTGAGGGCCTGATCAGGAAGTCTGTGCAGGGAGCTGGGTCTGCAGAATGATGGTAGGCATTCACGGTACTGGCCCTACCCCTCACTCAAAGTATCACTTGGGGGATATTGAGGTGCTCAGATCCCTGCTGGGCCTCCAAGAAATTCTTCTGGGGTGTGGAGGGAGAAAGGGAGATAGGCATGGGCATATGGAAAGAGTGCTGGTCTTCTAGGCCAGAGACCTCATTTGACCCAGCTCTACCCAGGACTTTTCTATGTGACCTTAGACCACCCAGGCCCCTTCTCTGGGCTTCGGTGTCCACTTCGGTATACCTGTTGGACTGGTCTAGCTGTCTTCCCTTTCGTTCGGGCCAGAGTGAAGGAGACAGGATCAGGTCCAACTTGCCCAAAGGCCCTTCAAAGTCCAGCCCAGGTGACCAAATTCAGGCAGGGGCCCAGGAGGGCGGGGCTGCCCTGGGTGCCTCCCGTACACACGGCCCTCTTTGTCTCTGGGACCTAATGAGGCACGAGATCTGGAGAGGAAATTCAGGCCACTGTGCTGCCGCCGGCCTGGCTGAGCTCCTGATCCCTTCCTTGGCCTGAGGGAGGGGAGAGAAACAGCCTCCAGCCCCAGTGCCCCTTATAGTCTGTCCAAGGGTAAGGGTGGGGGGGGGGCACGCTCCTCTGTCTCCCATGTCCCTCTCCCTCCCCAGAAGCACAGGAACCACTAGCCCTGGGAATGCTACAGTCCCCTTCCTCACTCTCTCACTCTGCCTTCCACACTTCCCCTTCCTCACTCTGCGTCTCTAGCCTCAGATACAGGGGCAAGAGTGCTGCTGATAAGGTTTGGTGAACAAGTTCATTAAGACCGTGGGGATGTAGGGAGGAAGGGAGGAAGAGCCCCACACCACATGCCCTGAGCCCTGGTCTTAATCCCAGTTGCTACTTGATTCATAGACCAAGCAGCCTCAACAGTCGCTGCTCTGGCTGAGCTGTGGGCAGTAGGAGAGAGGACCCTATCACAGGAGACCCTCGCTGTGGGCAGTAGGAGAGAGGACCCTACCACAGGAGACCCTCGCTGTGGGCAGTAGGAGAGAGGATCCTATCACAGGAGACCCTTGCTGTGGTCTCTTTGGCCAGTGCCATGCTGTGTGACCTAAGACAAGTCCCTTCCCCTCCTTGGGCCTCTTATTCCCCATCTGTGAAACGGAGTTCATACCAATCTGGCCAAGTTGCTAGGAGGAGTTAAGCATGAGTGAGCCTGGCACCCAGGAGGTGGTGAAAAAATGTAGATGATGCCCATGGCCACCTCTTCTGTTCCCCAGGAGGTTTGCCACTCTTGAGGCCCTGGACACATCTCCCTGCGTCTTCATTCCCTGGCAGGGGCAGGGCGGGCAGTTAGATCCCCCATCTGAAAAAAAAAAGGAAACTAAGCTGGGGAGGAGATTTAGGGAGGCAGCTCAGAGATGGGTTGTGGTTTCTTGGTGAGGTGTGTTAAAATGCCTGGATTCTGTGGTCAGACTAGACCAGGATTCCAATCTTGACGGGGCGTTCTTAAGCGGATCCTTTCCTCTTGTGGAGATAATATCTGGTGGAGGGGATTAAGTAAAATACTGTACTATTCTCAGAGTACCATAAACCTGCTGCTCTGGTCCCAACGACGCAGCCCCGTGGGCCCCAGCCTTGCCCCGCCCATTTGCCCACAGCCAATCGGCGGCCGCCTCTTCCCCGCTTCCGTTCCCTCCACTTCTGGCCGCTCCTCTCCCACAGCCCTTTCCTTCCAGGGAGGCTGCCCCGTTTGGGAAGAGATTCCCTGGAGAAGCTCTCATTTCTTGGGAAGCAGCTGAGAGCTGGAAGATGCACCGGAGGGCCAAAAAGCGCTGTGAAATTGACCCCGAGTTCAAGGAGCCCGTCTGCCCTCTAACCATTTTACAGATGGGGAAACCCGAGGCCCAGAGAAGGGAAAATCCTCATTAAGGTCACCCCGAGCGGAAAGCAGAAGCCCAGGTCAGGGTTTTCTCCGTGAAGATGGGAGTTCAGGTGCGCGATTTGGCGGGAGGGCAGGGGAAGGGAGGACATGCTCCGTGTGGGAGCCGGGGCACTAACGATGCTGGCCAGGGGGATCTTGACTGCGTGGGAGGCTGGACTCCTCGCTGCCTCAGTTTCCCCAGCACTACCTCTGGGAGAAATCAGGAGACAAGGCAACGGGCCAGACGCGCGCCTGCACACAGTCCGATTGCCCTTAGGCTGTCCCCGCGCTCCCCCCCCCCCCCCAATCTGATGGAGGAGGCTTCTCTCTGGGCACTGCCTCCCAGCCCTTTAAAAGCCAGTCCTCCCGTTGGAGTCTCTCGGCGTTCTATTGGAATGGCTCTTGATCCCTACTCCAGAGTTAACTGCTCAGGCTGCCGCGGGAGCTTTTTCCCGGAGCTGTAACTGCGCAGGTGCAAGGCAGCAAACCCGGAAGGCGGAAGAGCCGGTTGGGGCCGCCGCGTCGGGGGCGGAGAGCGTGTGAACCAATGACCTGAAGGAGTTAGGGAGGGCGGGATTAGGCCCGCAGTTATTTAACGCTACCCTGGTGGGAGATGATTTAAGAAATGGGGTGAAGGGTGCTTCAACGGCTCTTCGCGTCACCGTCCTTCTGGCCCGCGGAAGTTAAGCAGCACAGAGGCGGGCCCAGCGCCGGAAGCAGGAAGGAGGGCGCAGGAAGCAGGGCCCTGTAGCCAGTCGCGCTGTCGGTCCGTAGGTCTGTCGGTTCTGAGGGCAGGATGGAGAAGCTGCGGCTCCTGGGCCTCCGCTACCAGGAGTACGTGACTCGTCACCCGGCCGCCACGGCCCAGCTGGAGACGGCAGTGCGCGGCCTCAGTTACCTGCTGGCAGGTGCCACCCTGACCTTTGACCCATCCCTTCGGGTCTCTGACCTCTGACCCCACCTGCCTCCCCCCCCTTCCCTGCGGAGCCTGAGTAGCGATCGCTGTGCCTGAGGCGTTCCTTCCAGGTTCCCGTTAGGGCACAGGGAGGGGACGTCCGGGGACCCGAAGCAGCTGGGAGAGGCAGACTCTCACCGGCGCCTCCTCCTGTGCCTTCTCCCCAGGTCGTTTCGCCGATTCGCACGAGCTGTCAGAGCTGGGTGAGCTGGGCTCTGGGGTGGGTTGAGGGCGAGAGGGTGGAGGAGGGCTTCCCAGAGGGCTTCCTAGATTTCCCGTTAGATCATCCAGTTCTGTGATTGAATTAGACAGGGGTCCAGCGTCCACGGTCCTAGGCCGTCGCGTATGCCCCCCTCCCCGCCATAGTTAAGAGAGATGTCTGGGGACCTTGCCTGGTCAGGAGGCTGAGCCAAGCGCCACTTCTGCCTTTGCTCCATTAGTCTTCCCTCCAGTCACGTGAAGCAGGTACTGTTATTGTCCTCCTTGTCCAGTTGAGGGAACAGAAGTTTAAATGAGGTTAAGGAACAGCCACCGAAGGCCTCAACCAGGATTCACATCCCAGTCTCCCAAAGTCCAGAATGCCCAGACTGTAACTGCCTCAGTGGTGTTTACCCAGTCAGTACAGGAGGCGCAGGTCCCGAAAGGATGAGCTGGGTTTTAAAAGATAGGGATGGAATAGAATTTCAGGGACAGGCTGCAGAGAGAGCAAAGGCCAGGAGGTGACTGCACCTCCCATGTCTCTTTGGAGCATGCTGGGCAGTTCTGGGCTGCTGGATATCCTGTGCTATTCAGCAGGGCAGTAGCTGGTATGTCACAGAGATCAAACCAGCCTTTCTTGTTCTAGCTGCTCACACAAGAGGTCGCTGGGGGCGGTGGAGAGCTCTAAGGAAGTGGGTGGTGAGACCTGTTGTTTCCACATAGTATGTGTGGGTGGCTGAGCGCAGCAGGTAATAGGTGATCCTTGCTGCTCTGGGGAGAAGTGGGGGGGTGGAGGCTGCAGGGCCAGCCTCTCAGGGCCACTCTCTGCCCCTCAGTGTACTCTGCCTCTAATCTGCTGGTGCTGCTCAATGACGGAATCCTACGCAAGGAACTTCGGAAAAAATTACCCGTGGTAAGAATTGTGCCAGGAACTGAGGGCCAGAAGCAGGGGGCTCAGACACAAAACAGTAACCACTAACCCGGGTTTGGAGCACCTGTTACGGTCTCGTAGAGTACGAGGCATGGCTGCATCCATCTGTTCCTCTAGCCGTTAGGTGACAGTCCAGGTGTTAATGTCCTCTTAACAGATGAAGAGACTGGCTTTCACAGGGTAGAGTCACCTGTCCCGGCAGGAGACCTCAGGCTTACGCACTTAATCTTGGGAAGAGGAACATCTAGCCCCCTGTCAGAAGTGTCCTCTGGGGGAGGGGCTGAAACCAGGGGGGCCTCCTGACCTCTTGGCCTGGGGTTCTTGCAGTCCCTGTCCCACCAGAAGCTGCTGACATGGCTGAGCGTGCTGGAGTGTGTGGAGGTCTTCATGGAGATGGGGGCCACCAAGGTGTGGGGCGAAGTAGGACGCTGGCTCGTCATCGCCCTCATCCAGCTGGCCAAGTATGTCGGGACCGTGGAGGGCCGGCCTGGGGTGGGGGTCATGAGACCAGCTGTACCGGCGGTATTCAGCAGAGCACCCCAGGCCCCTGCCGGCTAGCCACCTCCCGCTTCCCCAGCCCTGCCGTACCCCCAACCCAGGGCTGTACTTCGGATGTTCCTGCTGATCTGGTTCAAGGCTGGCCTCCAGACCTCACCCCCCATCGTTCCGCTGGACAGGGAGACCCAGGCACAGTCCCAGGGTAAGTGGTTGCCCACTCTGGAGTGGAACGGGGCATGGGCTGATTGGTAGGTGAGAGCTGACCTGCATGAATATGGCATTGTCACCCTGGAGCACATCTCTCCCCATCAACACGTTTTGTCCTCATCAGCCCTTATTGGCATGTTAGAGAAGAGAAAGAATGATGAGGTCAGAGGCCGATCAGAGCTTAAACTCAGGACTCCTGACGTCAGAGTCCTCAGTCATTTTTGTGGGCTGCAGGAAGAAGGGCAGAGCATCAGGAGGTAGCAGGGTCTTGCCAGCCTTGTCTCTGGGCCTGGCTCTGTATCGAGAGCACAGCCTCATAAGGCAGGGTACCCAGCAGGTGTACCGCTTTAGGGCTTCAGGCCCATCAGCTGTTGGCCTCTGGGTCTTACCCCCTTGGCTTTGAGTTGTGGGCAGGTCTTTGCTTCTGTTTTCATGATCATGTTGAAAGCAAAGCACACAGGAGATACGCCATCCCCCTCCTTCTTAAAAATTTTTGTTTATTGGTTGCACCACATGGCCTAAGGGATCTTAGTTTGCTGACTAGGGGTGGGACCCGCACCCCCTGCAGTGGAAGCATGGAGTCTTAACCACTGGACCACTGGGCAAGTCCAGATACAGCCCCTTCTGTGCTGTGGTCCCCATGGGCCACAGGTCCTCCTTCTTGTTCCAGTGCCTGGAAGGCCTTAGTTCTCAGCTGGTACATCTGCACAGGTGATGCTGGCCTTTCCCCAGGTCGGGAAGGGCTGCAGAATGCTCCCTGCTATAGACAGGTCCCAGGCACAGCCTCTGCAGTGGTGTCCTTGACTCTGCTGCTGCCTTAGTACCAGTTTATCCATCCTCCCCTTGGCCCATGAGCGTTCACTGCACATGCGTTCGCTTGTAGGCTCTGGTAGAAGTGTGTCCCTCTGACAATACGACCTTCTATCTATTCCTGCCAGATGGTGACAACAGCACTGGCAGCCAGGAGCAGTCATATGTGGGGAAGCGGTCAAACCGGGTGGTGCGAACCCTCCAGAACAGTAAGTATGGGAGGCAGCTGGACAACACACCTCAGTGCTGAAGTCAGCATGGGCCTGAGGGCCTGGCTTCCGTCACTACCCTGGCCCTTGGGCCCAGCCGCTCACCTGCCGCGCTTGTGTTCTAGCTCCGTCCCTGCACTCAAGGCACTGGGGGGCCCCGCAGCAGCGCGAGGAGCTGGGTGTCACCCCCACCCCGCTGGGGCTGCAGGAGACCATCGCCGAGTCCTTGTATATTGCCCGGCCCCTGCTGCACTGTATCCTTAGCCCAGGCCTGGGTCGCGATAGATGGGGGCAGGCAGGGTGGGCCGTGTGCCAGAGACATCCTTAACGCCGTGGCCGGCAGTGCTCAGCCTGGGCCTCTGGGGTCAGCGGTCGTGGACACCCTGGCTCCTGTCTGGTGTTGTGGATGTGACCAGGTGAGCCGGGCCTGCCTGGGGGCCCCATTCCCTCTGTCCGGCTTTGTGCCACAGGCCTGACCTCACCCGGGCAGGCAGGGTCCCTGCGCTCCTGTCGCTGGCCCAAACGTTGTCCCCTCCCCCCAGCCTGAGCCTCCTGAGCGACAGGAAGGGCCTGACCCGGAGGGAGCGGCTGGAGCTGCGGCGCCGGACCATCCTGCTGCTCTACTACCTGCTGCGCTCCCCCTTCTACGACCGCTTCTCCGAGTAAGGACTGGCCCCGGCTTGGCAGGGCCCAACCTCCGCGGGGCAGAGTGGGGGAAGCGGGCCCGGCTCCCCACGCTTGTTCACTCCCTCCCTCCCCGATCTGGGTTCACTGAACACTTGCCGTGTGCTATCCTGGGTGTGACTTCCCTGGTGGCTCAGATGGCAAAGCATCTGCCTACACTGCAGGAGACCCAGGTTCGATCCCCGGGTTGGGAAGATCCTCTGGAGAAGGAAATGGCAACCCACTCCAGTATTCTTGCCTGGAAAATCCCGTGGACAGAGGAGCCTGGCAGGCTGCAGCCCATGGGGTCGCAAAGAGTCGGACACGACTGAGCGACTTCACTTCACCCTGGGTGTGGTCACTCCTGATTTCTTGGGGCTGTCTACCCAGTGTGCTGCTTAAGCTGTTGTTGGCAGGTGAGGGCAGGGCCCTGGGGACTGGGCGTGAACTTTCTCTGTCCTCAGCTTGCTTGCCCACTTTCCTAAAGAGTTGGGATATTTCCCACTTCTCACAGGAGACACGTAAGTTCAAAGAGGCTGGGCAGCTGAAATGAAGCCAGCCAGTGGCAGAGCCAGTTCCCACATCCATGGTCTCTCCTGGCCTGTCCCTGCTAGCCCAGCCCTCCATCCATCCCCTGAGAGGGTCCAGAGCTCCTAGCCACAGAGAGGCCTGCTGAGGGTGTCAGGGGTGACTGAGGTCACCTGAGGTCAGGTTGAGATTTGAGGAGGGGTCCCTATACTGCGACTGGGGCTGTGAGACAGGCTGGAGGCTCCCGGGACCCGCTCTGTCCAGGTCGCAACAAGTACACTGCTTAAAGGCTGGAGTGACCATAGGAATTATACTTGACATTCTGTACACACAACTTCTGTTAATTTTCTGAGTTGGTAGAAAGTAAGCTTAGGTCAGATTTAATAACCACCTCAGTGAAAGTAACTGCCTGGCAGTTTCTATTTTCAGATGAGTTTGAAATCTCATAAGGTTCTAAAGCCAAATACTTTTCCACACTCCAGAGAGAATGCTCTGGAGACTTTTGTGGATCGTGACCTTTGCCTACAGACAGCTTGCACTCTACGGAGGAAAACTTGTAGCCCCAGCATTGCTCTGAATTGAGGATTAACTGATTGCAGAGGCAGCTTCCCAGGCTGTAGGCCTCCAGTCTGGCTTGTTTTCCTGCCGACCTGACCAGCCCAGACTGAGCAGTGGCCTTAGAGCAGTGGCCCAGACTGAGGAGGGCCCAGAGCCCAACCCCAGAGGACAGGGAGCAGGATGCCGAGGACCTCTGGAATATAGTCTGGGAAGAGAGAATTTTCCTTCCCCCTTTTTATTGTTAGACAATATAGTCTCTGGCACTGGGCTGCCTCCCAATTGTGGGCTGAGGTGTGACCCTCCCGGGCCGTGTGGTTGGGGACGGCTGGACCAGAGCCCTTGTCCTTCTGTCCTCGAGGATGTCTCTGATCCACGTGGTGACTTTCTGGCTTCTGGGATGCACTGCCTTTAGTCAGGTGGTCAGCAGAGGTTTGCTGCTCCTGGATTTGCAGGAACCCAGACCCCCTACTCAGGCTACTCCTTTGTTGCAGGGCCAAGATCCTCTTTCTGCTCCAGCTCCTGGCAGACCACGTCCCAGGCATTGGTCTGGTCACAAGTAAGTGTGGGGTGAGGGCGTGATAATTAGTCAGGGAGCTTATGTGTGGCCAGGCTTCCTGTATCCCCTTGTAATTTGACTCTTGGCACAGTTGGGAGAGGGAGCCATGAGGTCAGCTTGGGTGGGTGAAGCTCCTTGAGTGACGCGACACCAGCTTTGCTGGGTGGGGACCATATGGGGGAATGAAGCCTGCTGGCCATTTGGAGAGGCCCCTCAGCAGAGAGGCCCTGGGCCGGGGCTGTCCGCGTGGAAAGCGGGCCAGCTGTGTGACATCTCTGAGCTTGAAACTCTTTGTCTGTAAACACGGCCAAAGATGGCTGCTGACGCTGGTGGGGGAGGTGGGAGTGCGGGGTCCGGCCGGGCGGATGGGAGCCTCAGGAGGGCCCTGGGAAGAGCTAGGTTAGAGTCTGGCCCTCAGCCCTGAACTTGCTCCCCTCTGTCATTGCAGGGCCGCTCATGGATTACTTGCCCAACTGGCAGAAAATTTATTTCTACAGTTGGGGCTGATGGACATTCCGAAAGTGGGGGGTGGGGAGGGGCAGGGGGTGCCTCAGCCCATCATGTCCCCTGGGCCCCTCTGCCCTAATAAACCTGACTCTGGCAGCGTCTACGCCTGTGACTGCTCCATGCCCACCGCCCGGAACGCGTCCGGCTCTCACACCCTGGCTGGGCTCCGCACACAGCCCTGGTCTCCACTAGAGCTCCCCTAATTCCCTCTCAACTCTGCATCCTGAGCACATGCCGCACCTCGTTACTGGCCGGGAAGCCCAAGCCCCTGCTAGGACTGGGACGTGGGCTTCCTGGAAAGCTGGAGTCCCACCTCATGAGCCCAGGAAGCTGTTTGCCACAGCAGCTGCGAGAGTAAATGCTGCTTCTCTCTCGTCGGTCCCTGTTGACGACCAACAAGGCTGAACCCAGGCAGTAGATGCCAGCTGCCCCTGTGTCTTCTGGCCCACGCCCTGCCGGAGCCTGATGCTTGGCAGCCACTCCGTGGTGGAGCCTGGTGCTGGTGGGCCTGCCTCAGTGCAGAGGGGCCCCTCAAGCCCTGACCTCTGCTCGAGGGCAGAAAGGCCTTTCTCCTGTGGGGTGGGAACGTCGGGCCCCAGCCAGCGCTGCGGCCGATCCTGGGCAGTGGTAAGGTTGGCAGGGCTGGGAGCGGCCGGGTGCAGGTTCACGGGGCACGAGCCGCCGTCTCCCCCGTGGTCTTTCTGGAGGCACCGTGCAGGGATTGGGGCACGGCGGCTGCAGTCTTCCTGCCCGGCCTCCCCCTTCCCTCCGTCTCTGCTGCCTCTGTGCTGTGAGCAGCCCACATGCTCCGGCTGGAGCTTCTAGCTGGTCGGGCGGCCCCTCGGGTTCTGAGAGCGCTCCATCAGCTCTCAGCTGCACCTCTGCTGCTCCCAGACACCCTGGGATGGGCCGGCTGTCCCCAACCGCCTTCCCCGTGTGCCTCTGAGGAGCCCCGTCCTGGTTCCGGGCCAGGGGGCAGAGGCCCTGAGCGGTCACCACTTGAGACCCCCTGCCTTGGGTTGTCTGAACCAGCATGGCTGGGCATCTGTTAGGGAGGGTGCTCTGGGCCCCGTGCTGCTCGTGGAAGTGAGTCAGGCCTGGCTCGCTGCCCTCCCTCTCAACAGTGGAGGAGACAGGTGTGTGGATGCCTCCGTGCCCCGGGCCGCTGCGGTAGGTGGAAGTGTGTGCGGGCTGTGGTCAGACTGCCTGCCTGTCCGCACCAGCCGGAGGGCACCCTGCTCAGGGAGCCCTCCGCTCAAGCCGGCTTCTAAACTGCTGAGACTTCATCTGTTTTCAGCAGGCAGACGGGAGGTGGAGGCTGTGTGCGCAAAAACACAGCACAAGTAGTTGCTGCAGCGGTGTGACGCCCCCGCTGCACTGGAGGGGGCGGCAGGGCTGAAGCCACCAGGCCATCGCCTCCCAGGCAAGACCAGGGGTGGTCTGGCAAGGAATGTCTCGGAGGTGGTGGGGAGGGACCTGTTTGAAACCGCATCTCAGTGCCGGGGCAGGGGGCCTGTGGGCAGGGGAGGAGGAAGGTGCAGCAGGACGCTGCCGGTGGAGGCCGGGTGGAGGCCGTGGATAGGGCCAAGTTAAGGCGGTGGCAGGAGGGGTGGGGGGGGTAAGCCAACCAGGCCTTGGGGACTGGTTGTGGATACAAAGGAAGAGGGTGGCGTCTCGGAGGCAAGGAAATGAGGGGTTTGGAGTCAGGAGGAGCCAGAGCGTCTGAACTTGTGGTTCCTGGTGGAGGGCGGGGAGGGGGGGAGGGGGGAAGGTTGGGCAGAGGATGCTAAGGCGGGGTTCCTGGGAGCCAGTTGTGTCTAGGGAGGGAGCCGGGTCCACACTGAGCTAACATGGGGCAGGCAGGAAGCAGAGGGCCACACAGACTTGCCGCAAGCCTGTGAAGACTCAGTCTCTGGCCGAGTGTCACGCTCCATTTATTTGTTCATCAAGGATTTACTGAGCACCCAGCAGGCATCCAATACTGGATATCCTGTAGTCCCTTCCCTTGGGAAGCTTACACTCAAGAGGCCCAGGTCCCAGGCTTTGCCAACTAAGCTGAAGTCCCTGTCAGCCTCGGAGGTGGACACAGGGCCCGCCAAGTCCCTGGGGCCGTGCTAAGCTGCAGAGGGCAGTGTTGTGGGGGCCCTCAGCACGGGCTCTGTCCAGTGGGGCCTGGGTGGAGCAGGGCTCTCCAGCTGCAGGACCTTCCTGGGGCAAGTCAGTGTGGGAGGAAGCGGGGTGGGAGAGGGAGGCTGGGCGAGCAGGGGAAATGCTGGGGCTCCGGGCTATGGCTGTGACCTCTGCACAGGGCCTCCTGGGTGCCTGTCCCTGAGCAGGTTGTGTAGGGACCTTACCTCAGTGGTGAGGAAGCCCAGGCCCGCAGAGGGGAGGTGATGTTTCTGCCTGGCAAGAGGCGAGGTGGGGACCTGCACTATCTGTGCCCTCACCGGTGCGTCTAATAAAACAAGATGGGCTTGGCACCTGGCGGCCCACAGCCTCAGTATAAGCAGACCACAGGCCTCAGCACGGAGCTGCCCAGCCGGGCCCCGGAGCCACTGCTGACGCAGCGCCGTGGAGAGGGAGGCCTTTGTGAGGCGGCCCCGGGCGTGGGCAGCAGGTTCCGTTGTCCTGCATACCAGGGGGAGGGGCAGGCAGAAGCTGGGATCAGGGACCCTGTGGAAGATGGTTCTCACCATGCTGGGGGCTCTGCACCCCAGGGCCGGGCTGAGCCTCTTTGTCCTGTACCTCGTCCTGGCAGCCGCGCTTCTCCGCCCCCAGCCGCTGAGGTAACTCCTGGGGGCCCGGGGCCAGCGGCCTGGAAGTGGGGGTGCTCTGCGGGCCAGCCCCTCTGCGGTGTCGGGGTCCCCCACCCTCAGATGTTGCTCCCTGTTCTGGGAGGTGGTGGCTGTCCCCTGGCCAGCGCTGAGCACACCCCAACTTCTCCCACAGGCCTCAGCGATCCGTTCCTGAGGAGTTTTCGGCCCCCCTGGAACTCTCGGAGCCGCTTTCCGGCCTGGTGGACGGTAGGCTCTCCCCTTCCTCTCCCAACCCCACTCCCTGATGGGGGCGCCGTGCCCTGGGAGCGGGCACCCCGCCAGCCTCGGGGCCTTCTCACCCTATACAGCCTGTGTCTGGGGAAGACTTCGGGGGAACATAGACACTCCCTGCCACTCACCCCCTCTTCTCTCTCTCTAGACTACGGCGTCCAACCGAAACACCCGTGGCCTCGGGGGCCCCGACCCCTGCTCTCCCGGGCCCAGCAGCGCAAGCGAGATGGGCCCGACATGGCCGAGTACTACTATGACTCACGCCTGTGATGGGAACCCCTCATAAAACTATTCTGTGCAGCAAAATTCTCGGGCTTTCCTGGGGTGGGAACGAGCCGGGTGAAGTTGGGGGGGTGGCGGTCCAAGTAGATGACACTCAGCTCTGTCCCGACAGGAAATGGCACTTTAATAGTTGAGGCCGGGGTCACAGGACCTGGATGGGGCTACAGCTGAAGCAGCCCAGAGGCCCTGGCTGGCCCGGGCCACGGCGGAGCCTCCTTTTCCTGCCGAGGCAGGGCCCCCGCTGCCATGCTCTCCCCTCCCTGTGGGACCCCACGCCTGCCAGGGGGCCAGTGCGCCAGTGGGGTTGGCGGTGGGAGCTGTCGGTCCAGAGGCCACGCCGGTGACAGAGCTGGGAACGGGGACGGCGCCCCCACCTGCGGTCGTTTCCTGACCAGAGTCCTCGGGAGGGGCTGAGCTCGGGGCCCCGGGGCTGGGGGTTGGGGGTGGGGGCAGGGCTGGGGTGGGCACTTGTAGGTGGCATGGGCTTTGTCAAGGCAGGAGCCGATGGCCAGAGGCCCTGGCAGGGGAAGTGAGGGAGGCCCAAGATGAGACAGCCCTCTGCTGCTAGGACGGGCACCCTGTCCTGGCCAGAGGCTTCATCCTCTCCCCAGCCCCACGCCCTCCCAACCCCCGGGCAGCCCACACCGTCCTCCATAGGTGAATCTAACCCCATATATTACAATAGACTGCATTTGCCTCTGCCCGTAACCCCGGCCCTCCCCCACCCTGGCCAGCAGCCCCCCGCCCCCCCCTCTGGCGGGGGCAGGTGCCCCCTCCAGCCGTGCCACGTCCTGTCAGCAGCCCGCTGTCCTGGCCCTGGCCTGGGGATGCCACCCTACTCCAGGTAGATGTCTTCTGTGGGGCAGGTATACTCCACAAACTGCTTGTAGAACTGCTGGAACGCTCTCCTAGGAGGCAGGCAGACACCCAGGAGTCACCTGGCAGGGGCAGGATCTCCACCCGCGGTTTTCACCCGGAGCGTTGGGGTCCCTATTCCGGGCTCTGTTTTCCACCCCCGCCCCGGTCAGAGCTGCTCAGCTCTGTTCTCGACACGTGGTGCTTCCTGAGTAAGACTGCAACTGAAGAAAGGGAAAGCCAGGACCGTAGGACCACCCAGCCCTCCCTCCGTGAGCTAAGGATGCTGTGCAGAGGCGCTGGGAGGACTGGGGGGTTGTTGCCGAGCCTGAGGAGTGTGCTGGGGCCCTCAGGCCAGGGTTGGGAGCTCAGCAGGACGCACACACTCACCCCACAGATTCTGCCAGCGCTTTGGTGGATTCCTCAGACACAAAGACGTGGCAGGCAAACCGGTGGTCAGCAGGGTGCTTGGTAATGAACCCAAAGTACCTGCGGAGGGACAGCAGTCCATCTGGGTGGGGTGGGGGCTCGGGGCACTGGGGTGCGCGCCAGGCCCCAGGCTGGACCACAGGCACCCTGAGCCAGCACGCCTGCCTCCGCCCCGTTCCCCTCAGATCTTACTTGTTGTTCTTTGGATGGTATCCGCAGAAAGAGATGTTTTTTAACTGGAAAAAGTGGCTACATTTATTCCCCTACAGGAGGGAGAAGAGAAGAGGGTGGTCGTCAGCCCGAGAGGACACAGGTTGGGAGTCTGGCAGGAGAGCAGGGAGGGGGGCACCGGGCTATCACCTTGGCCTCCTGGGAGTCGTCAGCCTTGACGCCGATCTTCACGCCCCGCACGCTGATCTCTAGGACGCAGCTGGAGGGCGGGTTAAAGTGCACGGTGAGCCGGCGGGTGGTGGCAATCTGTGGGTGCAGGACTGGACGTCAGGCCGGCGCCCCTCTCCCCAGGAGAGGCTGGGAGACAGGGCCGGGGGTGGGCGCCCTCCCCAGCGGAGCGGCTACCTTTTGCATAGCGGCACAGAGGACGTCATTGCCCTTGTGATAGGGGACCTGGACTGAGCCCAGGAACTTCACCCGGAACTGGTCCACCCAGTCGCTGTTTTTGGTCAGGGCTGGAAAGCAAGTGTGGAATGAGTAGCAAGCAGACCCACAGAGGGTCACCCCTGTCTCCCGGCTCCCCAGCACCCCCCAGGGTTGACCCTGCTGGGCTGCGGCTCACTTTTCTCAATTGTGAGATGGATCTGAAGCCGCCGCTGCTGGGCCCCCTCCCCGGGAGGCTGAGATCTGGAGCACTGATCTGCCCAAGAGTGATGGGGGCGGGGCTGACATGGGGGCCCCAGGGCGCCAGGGCAGGGAAGGAACACTACCTGCCAAGTGTTCAGGCTCCTTGGTGACCTCAATGGCGTAGTAGGCAGGGAAGATGCCCCTGGCTCCCGTGCGCATGTTGTAGGCCTCGTACCAGTAGTCCTCGGCCTGCAGCTCCACCAGCAGAGGGTCGTCCACTTCCAGCTCGAGTTCGTCTTCATGTCGAGGCACAAACCTGTCCCCATCGAGGGCCCGTGAGGAATACACCACCTGGGCCCCTTCAACCAGACATCTGTTACCCCACCCTGCTCTGGGGTCGGGGAGCTACATTGACATCACTGGTTCAATAAACTTTTGCACAGCATCCCATGTGCCCATGACTCCTGGAGCCGGGAGGAGAGGACCGAGATCAATCAGACACACATCTGCCACCGAGGAAATCACAGCCAAGGGAGCAAGGCCACAGGTCAACTGTGAGAGGTCATGGTGGTAATAGTGTGAGTCACTCAGCTGTGTCTAAATCTTTGCGACTTCATAGAGTGTGGCCCGCCAGGCTCCTGTGTCCATGGGATTCTCTAGGCAAGAATACTGGAATGGGTTGCCATGCCCTTCTGCAGAGGATCTTCCTGACCCAGGGATCGAACCCTTTGGCACTGCAGGCAGATTCATTACTGTCTGAGCTACAGTGAAGTTCTAAGTGAGGGGTCATGGGTAGCGACTATTTCCACATGGGGGAGGGAGAGGGGCTGGTGGGTTTTAAAGTGTGGTTAGGGGTGTCTGCTGGGCACCCTCTTGGGCTCTGGCAGCAAATACATTTCACTCTGTGTCTGAACTCCAGGTTCCTAGAGAGTGGACACTGGCCTCCTGGGGCTGAGTGCAGGGGCTGGTTTAGGCCACGTGGTGATGGTGGAGGCCAGGAGGGTGTGGCCAGCTCCTGCCTGCCCAACCCCGTGCCTCAGCTCTTTACCTGAATATGGCCCGGTGGGTCTGCTCCTGCTCTTCCCCGTTGATGATGCAGGAGAAGAGCCCAAAGGACTCCGCACCTGTAGGCGAGGGGGACAAGCTGGGAGAGGCTGGTCTGGGCCCGAATGCCTTGACTAGACGGACCTGGGGCCGCCTCCCGGGGACACCTCGCCCAGGTCCCGCCGCAGCTCCCTGCTGCCCACTCACTGGAGGAGCGAGAGCGGCCGCTCATGAAGACGTTCAGGAACTTCTTGGAGAAGTGGACGTCGGGTTCGTCGGGGGTGGAGTCCTCCGAGAGGCAGGCGGGGGGCCGCGGCCGGGGGGCCTCCTCGTACTCCTCCCCGATGGCCGACTCGTAGGGGGAGGAGGCAGAGGCGCAGTTGTCGTAGACGGTGGCCGAGTCGCTCTCGTCGCTGTAGTCGCCGAAGCACGGCCGCAGGCTCACCAGCTCCAGCTGCGCGTGCTCGTCCACCACCAGCGTATACTTGACCGAGTCGTAGGACAGGGCGCTGGTGTCCGAGCTCAGCGAGGCCCGCGGAGGCGGCGGCGGCTCCCCCAGGCTCCCGCGCCATCCTCCCGCGGGCGGCTCGGCCCGCTCTGGGGACGACAAGCAGTCGAAGCCCTCGTCTTCCTCGCTGATAGACGGGTGTGGCCGCCCGGCGCTGGCGGGGTAGGCGGCGGGGTCGGGGTCGGAGCTGACCGACATGCGGCTCTCGGCGGGCGGCAGGAAGGCGGAGGCGGGCTCCGCAGGGTCCGGGGGCCTCTGCACCGGCGTCAGGTAGATCTCCTCGGTGGCCTCCAGCCGCACGTCCGCCTGGTAGTGGATGCGGTCTCGGTGCGAGTGGCTCCGGCCACCCGTGGGGGCAGCAGGGGGCCCACCGGGAGGCGCCATCTGCGTGGCAGCGCTGCGGCGGCAGGGGCTGTCCGTGGAGGTGCCTCGATCCTTGGTGGGCGCGGGGCTGCTGGGGGGCGGCAGCTCATCGCTCAAGCAGATGTGCTCATGCGGAGGCGTCTGCTCCCCTGGAGAGCAGGCGGGGAGGGGCTGAAGGCGGCGCCCTCACCGGCCCTTGGGCCACCAGGACACAGGCACCAAGGCAAGGGGGGCCTCCCCGCGGGGCCCCGCCGTCGCCGACCACGGCTGGGGTTCTGGCAAGGGTAAGGGTCCCCACTTACCTGTCTTCAGCGGCGAGGATGATCTCGACACCCGGTCCTGCCAACTGTGCTTCTTGCCCAGAGAGTTATTATTCAATGTGTCCTGTGCAGGGAACAAAAGGCCCTTGTGACAGAGGCGCTCCAGTGCCCGGCACAGGGAGGCCCCGGCCCCGCCCTGCCCCCACCCGGGCCAGCCCTAGCCCATTTGCTGCTGCCCCTGCCTCCCTACCACTTTGCCAAGGGCCTCAGCCCCCTGGCGCAGGCAGGAAGGGTGGCAAGTCACAGCCCTCCTCGCCAGGCCTGCTGACGCGGGACAGCCCACCCCCCGGCCCAGGGAAGCTGGCTGGGCCTCAGGGAGATGCTCTCAACGGCCTCAACGAAAGTGGCCGTGGCCAACATGAGTGGTGGTGAGTGGGGAGGGGAGCCAGAGCCATCCAGGGACAGGGCCAGACCCCAAGGTCTCAGACCTGGAGGGTTTACAGGGAAGAGGCTCACTCCCAGCCCAGCTCCCCTGGAGCCTGGGAAGCCATGGCCTAGGGAAGGGGCAGGGACGTGCTCATAGAGCCTGAAAGGGGCAGGAAGAAGGGTCTCCCTGGCAGCTGGCCTGGGGGACTGGGATGATTCATACAAACGATGGCTCCAGGACGCAGTTCCCCCACTCTCCTCGCCAGGAGCACATGACAGAAGAATGACAGATGTAACTGTCAGAGGCCCTCCTTCCTGGATCTCCTGCCCCTGGGACCCCTCTCCACAATGCCTATATACAAGGCTTCCTACAGACACCTTAGGTCCCCTCCCCTGAGAACACTCTCGCAGGCTTGCACATTCATGAGTTTGGCTGCCAAAACCCACCAGAGAGGATCCTGGGAAAGGGACCGAGCCTCTATCTGCAGCCCCTGCACCCTCCACCCACAGCCCCAGCTCCCCGAGCTGCTCCTCTGAACCTCCCCAGACTGGGCCTGGGAGACAATGGTCCACGGCCGGCTCTCCCCCATCCCATTCAACCCTCCTTGGCATCCAGCCACCCAGCCCAGGGGCCCTAGGCCCCCAGCCCAGCCCAGCAGCTCCGCCTCCCATTTTCTTCCCAGCCTCCCGGGAATTCCCAGCTGCCCGAATTTCAAAGCAGCGGCTGCTCCCCGGCCGCAACTCCTCACAACTTCCCCTGACTTTTCCCACGCGGCCACCTCACGTGCCCTTTTCTCCAGGCCCTGCTTTTGCTCCATGTTCACCAGGAACCCCGACACCCTGGCAACCCCTGTTCTCTTAATCTCCTACTTGCCTCTCCAGCAGCATCATCCCCCTGCCCCTCTCAGCCCCTACATTCCTTCCACGTCTCATCACGAGGATCCAAACCAGCTAGACCATTCGGCTCGTCTCACTTAGGGTGGATTCTGCTTGCCTTCAGCGATCACCTCTCTAGGGACCTTCCCCTCGGAAAGCTACGCCAAGCATCACCAGGCTGGAGACTTCTCCAACTCTCGAAAACCTGCCCACTCCGCGGCCCGCGCCGGGACCCTGAGGACACCTGCCGGAGCCCCGCCCCTCAGCCCCGCCCCCTGGGCCCCGCCCCCGCCTCACCTGAGACCGCGGCACCTGCGGGAAAAGGTTCAGCGTGGTGGGTCGCTTGGGCCGGTATGTGTCTCCGCCTCCCGGGCCCTGGCCCTGGCCCTGCCCCTGGCTCTGGCCGCGGGGCGCCGTCTCCTGGCGGGGCTCGGCCTCGGGCGGCCCCGCTCCAGGCCGCCGCGCAGCGCGCTCCTCCTCCTCGTCGTCGTCCTCGGCGCCGGGAGTGTCCCCCGCCGCATCGATCAGGTCCATCTGCAGCATCTCGGCCTGCAGCCGGCTCCCCCCACCGCCGCCGCCGCCCGCGGAGAGCAGCGCGGCTCGTGGGGGCTGCGCGGCGCGAACGGAGGGGCGTCAGGGGGCCGGGCGGGGGTGGGGCCAGGAGGCCGAGCACCGCCCCCCACCTCCCTCCTCCCCACACCCGGAGCGGGCGAGCCCATTCCGAGGCCGCAAAGAGGGGGAGACGGGGAGCGAGCAAAGGAGGCCCGCGAGAGGGAGCCATGCCCTCCTGCCCCCTCGAGGACGCGCGAGGCCGCCGCCTCCTCCGCATGTCAGTCCTCACCTTTGGCAGTCCACACCGCTCCCCGCCCCCACGGTCCCCTGCTTTCCGACTCTTTGCAACCCCCCTCGTTCCCTTGGCAACAGCCGGTAACCTCACCCGAGTAGTAAACCGAGCCCAGAGTGAGGTCACCGCTGTTGCCATGGGGACGGAGGGGTCGCGGAGGAGTTCAGGGCCCCACAAGGGATGGAGACCGGGGTTACTTTGAAGCGGGCAGTAAGGAAAACTCAGGAAACAGTCTCAGCCCGGAGGGCCGCAGTGCGGACAGGAGGACCCGAGCGTGTCCGGAAGACGGATGCCGGGCGGGGAGGAGCAAGTGGCGAGCACCCGCCCGAGGCAGTGGCATCCACACCCTCCTCCGTCAGGTTGAGGACCCTCCAACCTGAGGTCTTCTCTCAGACCAGCCTAACTTTGACAGTCCAGAGCTCCGTTCTAGTTCCAGGCCTGCCATTAATTCCCTGGCACCTTGGACAGATCCCCTGACTCTCCCAATTCCCTCAACAGTTAACTGCCTCCCAGCTTCCCAGAGAGGCGAGGATTTACTGGCAAGAAAACATGATAGCCCCCTGGAGCTTGGCTAAGGCTCCACAGGGTACACCTCGAGCTAGTACCGCCTCAGGTCCGCTGGTTGCAAAGACCACCCTGTCCAAGGCTCTGCTCCTACAAGTCAGCCAAGAGGATGGTGTGGGTCCCAAACTGATGAGTGACCTTAAAGAAGCTGTGTTAGTCCAGAATAAGTGGCCTCTGCCTCCATCCCCTCTAGGCCTGGCCAGAGGGTGGGGGCTTGGGGTCCAGCATACTGTAGGGTTTCCCCTACCCCCCGTTTCCTCTTGCCTGGAAGGGCTTACAGACTCTCTGGGGGTAAAAGGAGGTCAACACAGAGGCACCCCACCCCAACTCACACTACAGCTCTCCTTTGCTACCATTCTCCCAAAGCATGTCTACTCTGGCCACCCACCCTCCTGGGGGCTGAGAGAAACTCTGGGCTCTGCAACCTAGCTGCATGCCTGCTTCCCATCTCCTGGTCCATGGCCCCTTTTCCCTGTTCTGAAGAGACATGAGGGATCTCTGTCTGACTGGGTCTCCCCAGATGCTGGGGACCTCCCTCCAGGGAGAATTCAGACCTTTGACAGCTGAGAGAGCCATCTGTCCTATGGCAAAGCCATGGGGGCCCAGAGCAGCAGAGCTGGATTAACCTTCCAGAGGGACCTTTAGGACAGTGGGCCAGAGGGGGTCCGCGACGCTGTGTGGTGTGTTCTGTGCAACGGTAGCCGAGGGAGTGCCCTGGCGCTCTTCTCCTGCCCCAAAGCACTGCAGATTCCACTGGACTCCACCCTGCACTGCCTCAGGCCCTCTGCCAAGGAAGCTTTGGAAAGGATTTAGGGTAGTCCTGAGCCTTCCCTTTATTCTGGGTCCTAATTGCTACTGTCCTAGGCCTCAAGACTTCCTGCTCTCTCCCTTCTTATGGGCAGTTGAAGGAGCTGTCTCCTGCCTTTGCCCCTGGCAAAATAAATAAATACATAATAAATTAAAAAATCTGAGCACTCAAGATGTGCCAAGCATTGTCCTGCATGTTATTTCCTTAGATAGGAGTACCACACGGACCCCGAGAGCCCCTCTAGATACAGGGATACCCTCCCTCCTAACCCTACCCATCCTGCCCACCCCACCCTTACCCGTAAGGACAAGGTGTCTTTGCATTGCAGGCTGATGCCACATTCATCGGTGATCTCGGAGAGGTCTTCATCCTCAAACTCCTCCAGGCTGATGTCATGGGTGAGCCTGGTGGGGACAAGAAGCCAAAGTTACCACTCGGGACTGCTGGCGGTGGGCTGAGGACCCTGAGGCCTCCCCCATACCTCTTCAGAGGGGTGGCCCCTCGAAGACATGTCACCAGGGGATGGGACCTGAGGTCTGCCTGCTTCAGTGCAAAGGGTTAGGGTAAGTTTGAGGCTCAGATCAAAAGGCAGGTCTCCAGCGTGGCAGCGGAAGGGAGGGCTCTGGGTCCCTCTAGCTCTACCCAGCTGGGAGCTGTCCACCCTGCTGTCAACCCAGAGGCTGTGCCTGGAAGGCCCAGCTGGTCAGAGCCTGGGCTCTGCCAAAGAAATGGCTCCCAGAGTCAAGGCATTGACTTGACTCCAGTTCACTCATGGAGGAGGCAAGAGCGTCGAGGAGCGACTCCAAGGGAGGCCAGAAGTGGGGGCTCCCTGTGCACCTAGGGGACAGAACCCAGGGTGCTGGCAGAGGCCCCGCCCCAGCTCGGAGGGGCGCTCCGTGTCCCCGGCCCAGGAGGTCCCGCTCCTCGGAAGCCCTGGGAGCAGGTGAAGGGGAACCCGGTGTCAATCTTGTCCCATCCAGTTCTAGGAACGACGGCGCCCCTATTCTGTGCTCTTGGTCTCATCAATTCGAACGCAAAATCCTCCTGCCTGGCATGTGGGCCCTGAACAGGAGGTTGCCCATGGCCGGACTGGCTTAAGCTGGAGGTGTGCTGGACTCAGGAGACCCCACCCAAAGCATGGGAACTCTAACTGGCTGTACTAGGACCCTCTCACCCCCAGGCCGGCCCTGCGCCCCCCACCCCAGAGTGGAGGGCTGTGCCAGCCCCTACTCAGCCCCAGTCCTGGGTATCTGCCTGGTTTGGTGTGGGTGGGACAGTGGGAGAACTCTGTTAAGGAAATTGGGGAGAATTCTTCTTGGGGAGAATTCTTGGGAGTCTTTTCCTCAAGAAGACCAGGAGACTGAGGCATAGAGAACGGAGACCCACTAGGCCAAGGTCATCCAGGAGAGGTGGTGGGCTCAGCCCCGGGGGGCCCGAGGAGGCCACACCCCCTGCCTCTGGCCTCCACCTGATCAGAGACCCGGAGCCCAATGGAGCCGCCCCAGAGCTTCCCCCTCCCCAATGCCGGTCCCCAAACCCCTACCAGCGCTCCCACTGATCCTCCAACCAGCTGTCATTGTCTGGGCTCGAATCCATCTTCAGCACCAGCTGCATGGAGAGCCCTGCCCGGCCGGGGGGCTGAGGGGCCCCAGGGCCGTCCTCTCATGCCCAGAAGGGTGGGGGCGGGGGCCAGGGCTCGGGGCAGGGCTGGGGCCTCCGGCCTCCGCCGCCTGGGCCTGCCTTTCTGCGTCCAGCCCGCTGCAGAAGCCTGGGGAGCTCATTAAAAATAGATGGGCCGGGAGAGGAGGCAGCGGCTGGCTGCCGACCCCAGCTCTGCCCCGCCAGCCCTCAGCTGCAGGCAGCTTCCTCCCCCGGCCCTTCGCAGCCGCTGCTGTCGCGGCCGCCTCCCCCGCGGGATCAGGTTACTGCAATCAATGCCGGGCTCCACCTGCCCTTCCAATGCCCCGATCCTGTCCGGGGCTGGGGTGGCCCCCCCTCCCTGGCCCAGGCTTGGACGCAGATGGCAGAAATCTGGGCTGTTTCCCCCCAAAAGCCATCCCCGGATCTGCTTTTAAAGGGCCAGCAGCACAAGTAGGGCTCCTGGTGGTGAGGTGGGGGTGGGGGGGGCTGTGATTCCAATCTCCACAAAGGGATGCTCAGCCCCCGCAGCTCATCAGGCATGTTTCCTAGACAGCGCTGCCTGGGGTGGGTCTAGGCGTCTTCTGTTGCCCACCTGGGTGCAGACAGAACCCGGCCCCCTTCCCCAGGGCTCTGTCCTTCCGTCCAGGAAGTGCCTGGAGGCAAAAGAGGCGCCAAGGCGGGGGCTAAGGGCAGGGCAGGAAGGGCAGCCTGAGGGCCCAAGAGCCTCCAGGCACCGCGGGGCGGCAGCAGCAGAAGCTGGAAGACCCCTGGAGGAGCGGCGTGGAGGGATTCTGATGGGCTGAGGTTCCCCGGGCTGGGGGAGGGCGTGGAGGTAGGGGCAGGCTGGGGAGGAAGCCAGGGCAGCCCTGCGTGGTCTGGCGCAGGGTGGCATCTCTGATCCTGGGCGGAGAACCCGTTTGCAGTGGTACTGATCTGGTGGGGAACACACACTGGCAGCCTGGCCCATCACGGAGAAGGCACCCCTGGACTCAGCTGGCACCAGGCGGCGGCAGGACCACTGGGTATCTAACCCAGACGTGCCTTCGGATGCCCCCTTGGGGGCCTGGGACCCCTGCACACATCTGCATGTTCTTGTCCTCACTGCCCAGCCTGGCCTAGCTCCTGCCTCTGCAGTCCCAGGCCTCCACCCTGGCCTGTCTGCCTCAGTTTCCCCATGCCTGCACATCGCTCCGCCCACACCCACCATGACGAGGCAGAGCTGTCCGAAGAAACACCACCCTCTGCTCGTGACTCCTCTTGCCAACTCTGTGTGTGATGGCCTATCTCTTGCATCTGCCTCCCAAGCGTCTAACCCAGTGCTTGGATGAAGTATGTGGCAGGCTCTCAACCTGTGCCTGCTGGGAGAAGGTTCGGTTAAGCCCCCTCCTCCAGGAAGCCCTCCTGGTTCCCGGTGTCAGCGCCTAACAGCCCTCCAGGCAGTGCTCACTGTGCGTGGAGGGAAGGCAGTGTGAAGGAGTGGAGGGAAAGAGACCTGCGTCAAGCACCCTTCCCGTCCTCTCAGGAGGCTCCAAAGTAGACAGAGCTCACAATCCACCCGCGCCCTGCACCCAGCAGGTGAAGAATAAAGGTTCCCCCCACCCCCTGCCCCCAGCAAAGTCTGGAGGGCAGAGCTGGTGAGGTCATCTTGCATACAATAGGCACTCAGTCTGTGTCTGCTGATGTCTGTCCGGGACAGCCTCAGTCTCCACAGCTCCTCTCAGACCAGAGTGTTCGCAGCAGACCTGCAGGGTCTGGCTTGGACCTCGGGCCGGGGCTTCTCAGATCATTTCTACACACGCAATCTTAGCATCACCCGATATTCTTGCTTCCCAGGAGGCAGGTCTGGGGGGGCAGGCAGGGACAGCTGTCTCAGCCTCTACACATGAGCAGTGAGGGTCACCGAGGGCAGTGGTGGACAGAGCCCTGGGCTGGGCCTCAACAGCCTGTACTTGACCCCTGGCTCCGGTGGGGTGGGTTCACGGAGCTCCTCAATCTCACTTTACTCCTAGGCCAGGCAAGATGGTGGAATGGCCACCATACCAGGCTCAGACGCAGGAGGCCTGAGATCAAATCTCGACTCCTTCCCTTATGAGGAGCAGCTGCCATGCCCTGGCCACCAACCTTCTTGATGCTCTGCGTCCCCCTTCATCCTCACTCCAGCCTTAGAAGATGGTTTTATTCTGCCCATTTTACAGATGAGGAACACTAAGGCTGAGACAGAAGATGCCATAGGCCTGCAGCTTCCCCATATGTAAGATGAGGACCCCATCTGGGTGCTGGTAAACTTAACCGAATGGAGTGTGTGTAAATTATGTGAGGAGGTCCCGACTAACGATCAGGGGCTGGACTGACCCTGGAGTCTTCTTTGCAAGTCACACCCACTCCCCTCAACGTCCACCTCTGCCCACCTCTCCACCGCCCCATTCCCTGCCCTTTCCTCCTGCTTATCCAGGCACCAGGAGTTCTGGGTCTCTCAGCTGAAGCCCCAGGAGGCCCTTTGTGGAGGGAAAGCCATACAGACCCTTGGTCCCTCCAAGTTCAAGGAGGGCAGCTCCTGCAGGAGGAAGGAAAAGATGGAGGGCAGGGGGGCAGCAGGGGCCGGAAAGAAGGAGGGAGGTCCCCTCCTGAGCCCACTGCCCCACCTTCCCCATGGAAACCGGCCCCGGAGCGCCAGAAGACGGCTCAGGCTGAACCACACGACCCGCCGCAGGTCGGGTCCCCGGTTTTGCCTCTAGATCTAGGAACCCCAGCCCTTCGGAGGCAGCTGCGTCATCACTCAGACCTGCTCGCCCGTTCGGGTGAGACGGGTCACGAGGGCTCATCCACACTAGCATCTGGTGAGTCTACGGCAAGTGTTTGGTCTCTCGAGCCCACCCCCAACCTCGGCATCAATCTTTGTCACCCAGGCCCCTCCTCTGAGTTAACCTCATCGCCTCCCACTCTGGCACCCCCGTCCTCCCCTCTGTCTGCTGCTCACTGTCCTCCGAACGTGCCACCCTCAGGCTCCCCCTGCCTGAGCCAAGCTCCCCTAAACAGACAGACCAGCCTCCTGTGTTTCAATGTTTACGTCATGGCCTTTCCCTTGCCACGTGAACGTCAGTCACATCTGCATTCCACCAACAGCAGCTCTTTCTAAGCTGCTGTTTCCACCCAGGAGGAGGCGGAGTTAGCAGTGCCTGCCAAGCAAGCATTAAATGGTAAAGTGCTGAGGCTTCAAGCTGAGCAATGCCAAATCCCAGCCAGGCATCTGGCTGCCCAGAGGCTCTTCCTGTTCCTGGCTCCTGGGGAGGGAGGTCAGGGTGCCAGCTGACCCACCTTGGGTCCCGGCCACGATGTGTGAGACCCCGCTATGATGGGGTCAGCTGCGCTCCAGGGGTCCCGCCGGCCGCCCTCTGAGGGCTGAGCATGGCTGCCCAGGGGTTCTCGAACCCGAGCCTGGGGCTGCCCTGCTCCGAGCAGCTTCCCCACCTCCCTTGGGCTCCCCACAGGCCATTCTCTGAGGGGCCACCAAAACCAACACACGAAATACAAGTCTGGTTTTGTCACCCGTCCCCAGCTCAGAATCCTAACAGCTTCCCCCATCCTTAGGTGAAGGGGCCCAAATTCTCACCTGTGGATCCTGCCCCCACCTCCCACCCTCCCAACTCTTAGGCACCTGCCCCACTGGCTCCCTGATTGGGCCGAAGAGCCCCGCTGTGGGCCAGGCCCCCCTCGCAGGCATCCTGGGGTGGGGGGTCACTGGGAATTTCCCTGTGGGCTCTGTGACCAGAGGCGGGCTCCCCTGAGAGGCCCATGAGGGCGGCACCGCGCGGGGGCCTGACATGACAGGTGCTCAGTGACTGCTGTTGGATGAGGGAAACGCTGCTGTCCCCAGGTCTTTCTAGACTTCCCCTTCGGAAAGCTCGAAGCCGGTTCTCTCTTCAGCCCGACTTGTAGGTGCCCCGCACCCTGCCTGCGCCAGGCTGGGGCAGGATGTGGGGGCCTCTGGGAAGATGGTGCTGGCTGAGACGGCAGAGAGGGGGGCACCAGGCCCAGCCTCACCCGCACGGTCCCCTCTCCATCCCACCCCCAGCTCTGGTGGACCCTGGGGTCAGGCTGGGTTTTCTCCTCTGGTCTGGAATTCCTTTCCCAACCGTGTCCACACTGGGGTCATCTTCACTGAAAACTGAATCCAACCCAAGAAAACAAGCCCCACACGGACGCCCCTCCTTGGGGTTGAGCTCAGTCATGTCTGACCCTTTGCAGCCCCATGGCCTGTAGCCTGCCAGGCTCCTCTGCCTACGGGATTCTCCAGGCAGGAATACTGGAGTGGGTTGCCATTTCCTCCTCCAGGGGATCTTCCCGACCCAGGGATGGAACCCAGGTCTCCTGCACTGCAGGCGGATTATTTACCATCTGAGCCCCCAGGGAAGCCTGGTTGCGCTGGCAGGCTGGTTCTTCACCACTAGCGCCACCCGGGAAGCCGCTACTTGGGGTTAGCAAGCATCTAAGCTGTTCAAATACTTTGGTGCTGATACAGAGCAAGAACTCCGGGATCTGGTGACTCAACTATTGGGAAACTATCCTTTGGAAACCATCCCAACCTTGGAAAAGCCTTTCTACACAAGGGTGTGTGTCCTCATCATGGAAACCACCGCCGAGTCTGGCATGCGGGGTCCTCCAGAGGAGGGAGCATTGCTCGCTCTTTGGGATGAACGTTATAAAGTCTGTGCATTAATGTTGAAAATGGGAACTAATACAATAAGCAGAAGACAGAACGTGTCACCTTATGGCTCCACGTGATGACTCACACACAGAAGAGAACCTGACACAGACACAGCCGTGGGACGCGGTGGGATCTGGGGGGTCTTCTCAAGTCCACTCTGGCTCACACCCCCCAGCAGCTGCCCCTCATAAAGCCTGGCTTCTGAGGTAACTGACTCCCACCTTCGCTCTGCTCCGCACGTGAAGCCCAGGGCCCCGTATACTGCAGGTACTAAATAAATGCTTGTTAGAAGCAGCGCTAGTGGACCCAGGCCCTGGGCCCTGCCTGTGTCCCTGGGGCCAGGTAAGGCCCACGGTGGATGTGCCTAGAGATTTCTTGACTGAATCCAAGAGCAGGGCCAGGTGCAGAGACGGCGCCCTGGACACAAGAGCGCCTAGAGGGGGGTCGGGGCCAGGGGCTCAACTTCTGACATCCAGTCACTGGGGGTGAAATCCTGCCTTGGCCACAGCCGTCTGCGTGAGGAGAGTCCACGTTCCGTCTCCTGTACTGGAGGCTCATCGCAGCCGTCTGGGGGCGCAGCCCAGGGCCCGGGCTGGGCTGGCCCCAAGAGCAGCAGCTTTTCCCTGCCCCCCAAATGTGGCTGGTTCCCGGCCTCTCCCTTCACTCTGTCCCCCCCGGGTACCACGTTCCTCCTGAGGCTTCAGGCCATCGCCCGCTCTCTGAGCGAAGACTCCCAGGGTCTGTGGCCCCAGCCCCATCCTCCCCTTTGAGCTCCAGACCCCAGACCAGCTGCCTGCTTGAACCCTCTAACTGGGTCCCCCCACGATCAGCAACCTCAGCCTCAGCCTCAAGTGACGTCATCACCCCTCCCGCCAAGCCTCTCGTCTCCCACGGGGCACCCCCTTCCTCGGGACCGGCCTCATCCCAGACGCCTCTCTCCCCTCCCACCTCCCCTGGATCCCTCCCAGGTGGGCTAATCGACCCTCCAAATGTCCCTCCCCTGAGCCCCGTCCACACCCGCATGACGGCCGGTCTCCCAGCGGCCACCCGGCCTCCCGGTCCCCGCGCTCGGGCCAGCCTGGGAGTCACATGCCCTGTCAGCCCCCTCCCTCTTCACCCCTCCTCCTGGCTGACCCCCACTCGCCCCCCAGGCCTGCGCTGAGCTGACCCGGCCCTGACCCAGGGCCCCTCAAGGCCCCTGACCCGAGTCACCAGCTCACCTTCCGCCTGTCTGTCCGACCACATAGACCATGTCGCCGCCCGCACGACAGGCCAGGCCCTCGTCTGTGCCTCTGGAGTGTCGCAGTGAGCCCGGCTGAGTGCAAGCACTTGGGTTTTTTGGGGGTGAGGTGGAGAGCCGGGCGGCAGAGCTTACAGGATTTTAGTTCCCTGAGCAGGGATCGAACCCAGGCCCTCGGCGGTGCCAGTGTGGAATCCTAACCACTGGGAATTCCCGCAAGTTCTCGCTGAGTGCACAGAACCCTGGGGCCCTGGGCTCCCGTCCCCCCAGGCAGCAGGGGGCCAGAACATGAGCATCGTGTCCAAGGAGTCCTGAGACCCGGTGCCGCCCCAGCTCCACTGCAGCTTGCTGTGTGTGCTCCAGAACCCGCTCAGCCTCTCTTGTCTCCCCCTAAGGAAGTGGGGTGCCGGACGAGCTGGTCTCCAAGGTCCCCTCCTCCACGCCGCCTCCCGCACACCCCGGGCGGCCGCTCACTGGACTCCCCACGAGCCTCTCACGCGGACTGTGCCACTGTCTCCCCTCTCTTCCTCCTACCACCGAGCTCAAGGAGTCTGCAGCTAAGCTTCTAAATTCTCTCACAGAATTTCCTTAAAATGAACATGTATCGCTTTACCGTCCAATTTTCTTTTATTCTTTTCTAGGTGACAGAAGTAACTTATGCTTATGGTAAAAATAAGAACTCAAAGAATACAGAAGTTTGTGAAATAAATGAAAATCCCTCTCCCACACCAGAGTCAAAGGTAATTACTAGTAACTGGTTGGAGCGTTTCTAGAATCAGAAAAAACAAAGTTTATTTACACCAACTCTCAACAAACAAATGCTCGCCCTCCTCAGATCCACACCACATGTCCCTCTCCACAAACTCTCCTCTATTTCCAGGGTGGCTCCGAACGCGACCTCTGCCACTTATCTAACCTCTTCCCATCTCAGTTCCTTCATCTGCAAAGTGGGGATAATGACAAGATTCTGTTTATGTGGTTCTGGGCAGGACTAGGCGCCCCTGCACAAAAAGTGCTTAGAATGGTGACTGGGCAAAGCAAAGGCCTCCCAAGTGGCAGGGTTTCCAGCGTTCTTCTCCTTGGAACTCTCCAATTGCATCCCCAATTAAATAATAAACCCCTAACGCCTTACTGCACACCTACTCTGTGCCGGGCTTCGGGCAAACCTAAGTTTAGGTATTGACTTCTTGTGCCTTCTGGAAGTAGACAGTGGTGCTTGGTCACACGCATGCATATGTGCACACACATGCATGCATGCACATACACGTGTGCACACACACACGCAAAATAATACCCACAAGAACAGCTCTACGTGAATATAGCTCTTCACAGCCCTTGAAACACTCAACATGTATTGTCTTATCCAAGTCTTAGGGCCGCCCTGAGCAGGGACCAAAGTAGGCATCGTGGAGAAAAGACCGGCCCAAGGCATTCAGCACCCACTCTGAGCACGCGGCTAAGAGGATGGAGCCAGGATTCAAAGCCAGGCCAGAGCCACAGAGGCAGCCCCACCCGGGCTCCACCAGCTGAGCTAAGAACTGTGAGAGGCGGATGGGGAAAGGGCAGCGGGGGCTGCCGGAGCCGGCAGGGCAGGCCTCGGGCCGGAGACACTGGCCTTACTGTTCACATCTCCACATCCAGGCCCTGGGGTCCTGGAGGGCCAACCCACTCTCCGCCTTGGCGTGGTGCCACACTCACCCAGCGGGCCCAGGGCTGGCCACACTCACTGGTGGGCCCTCCTTACCAGTCACTGTCACTCAGGCGTCCAGGATAACCTGCCCGCCGGGGACAGGGAGGGATGGAAAGCGCTCTCCCCCGGGGAGGCCAAGCTGTCCTCCAGGCCAGAGGCAGGGCCTGAAGGTAGAGTGGACCGAACACGCAGCTCAGGCCCTGACTGCCCTCGGGGAAGCCACCCGCCTTCCTGAACCTCAGTCTCCTCATCTACAAAATGGGCAGGTCCATCCTGACGCCCTGAGTGGTGGGGAGGGAGACCTCGGCCAGCCCGGGGAACAGGCCCGGAGCAGGAATGAGCCATCTCAATGCCCGCCGGTGTGGAGGATGACACTTGTTGAGCGCCAACGTGATGCACATTAAGGAATCAATGTGAATTAGCTCATCAACAGATGAGACTCAGGAAAGACCAGAGCGCTGCCCAGGCCAGGCAGCTAGAAAGTTAGTGGAGCCAGGATTCGCATCCACGTCTGTCCGAGGGCTGTGCTCTCCCACCAGAGGGGCCTCCTGGAAGGAGGGAGGCATCGGTGTGAAGGCAGAGCAGTCCACGTCGGGTACAGTGAGTCTCAGACCTCGGCCTCCTCACTCTGAGGCCCGAACCACAAAGCCCCCAGCCCTGGAGCCCGGCCTCCTCCATCTGGTCTTTGGCAGCTCAGCTTGGGGCCTTCTGGGAGATTTCTAGTCCTGATGATGATGCCATTAGCGATCCCTGGAGGTCCCTGCCCACCTGAGGGCTGGGGAGCCAGCAAGCCCCTGGTCAAGAAGAGGGGCTGGCGCCAGAGCCCAGCTGGGGCCAGGCGGGGTGGGGGCCCCAGGAGAGGGGCAGGCTCCAGCTCATTACAAGGAGGAACAATGGAGAATGGAGGCCTCTTTCTGGGGGCTCTGGAGCCGTAACCCCTCCTCTCCTTCCTCTCCAATCAGCCAGGATGAGGACGGAGGGACGTCCATCCCAAACCCCACAACACCCACTGCCACCTCTCTGAAATCCACCTCCCGGTCACCTGAGGGCTGGGGAGCCAGCAAGCCCCTGGTCAAGAAGAGGGGCTGGCGCCAGAGCCCAGCTGGGGCCCGGCGGGGTGGGGGCCCCAGGAGAGGGGCAGGCTCCAGCTCATTACAAGGAGGAACAATGGGGAATGGAGGCCTCTTTCTGGGGGCTCTGGAGCCGTAACCCCTCCTCTCCTTCCTCTCCAATCAGCCAGGATGAGGACGGAGGGACGTCCATCCCAAACCCCACAACACCCACTGCCACCTCTCTGAAATCCACCTCCCGGTTGCCTAAGACCAGACTGGGGGCAGGGAGAGAGCTGAAGGAGGAGCTAGATCAGGGTACCGGGTGCTCACCCCGGCAGGACGCACCCCACCAATATCCCCGGCTACTTCTGAGGGCTCCAACCCAGACTCCCTCTCCCACAGCCAGGCCTCGATCTCGCGGGTTGAGGCTGAGCCTATGTTCCGTACCTACACGCACCGGACCAGGTCAGTGTTTGTCCCAATCCACGGAAGGTCCTGGCCACGCCAGGCCTGGGAGTTGGGCCCCTTTGGCCAGGCAGGGCTGGGGGAGGGGCCTGCGACTCTCTCTCCAGCACCAAGGCTGTCGGTCGCCCCAAGAAACGGACCCGCGGGCACCCCGACCTGGTGCCATCCTCTATTCAGGAGCCTTCCGACTGGGCGCAGGCAAAGCCCTAGGCTTCCTGCCTCCTGCGGGATCTCAACGCGGACCCCAGGCCCCGCCGCAGCTCCAAAGTCGGGGAGAAGGCGGCCTCCGCGCCCCCTCCTCCAGTTCCAGCTCAGGATCTCCTCGCCTCGGACACGGAATGGCGGAGAGAGCCGCACCGCGCATATGCATCGGCCACGAGTGTAGACTTGAGGCTGACGGGGATTCGGGAAGAGACCCCATCCCCACGCCGCCCTCTCGTTCTGCGGTTTCCCGAGTGTGTGTTGCGGGGCGGGTGCGGGGGGAGCCCGGGCTGATCGATTTAGGCTGAAGGGTGGGGCGCGGCGGCCGGAGAGCCTCACCTGAAATTGGGCGGCGACGCGATGTGCAGCCCCAGGAACGGGGAGGCGGCAGGCGGGGACGCGGCCCCCCCGCCCAGGCCGCCGCTCTCTCGCTCCGCCATTCTCCCGCACAGCCCTGGCCATCCGGGCGGAGCGCGGCGCGGAGGCGGAGGCGGACGGCGCTTTCCAAGGTGCTGAAGTCTCAGCCCCGCGGTCCCCGAGTTTGGCCCCGCCCCGAGCT